ACATGGCTTCAGCGTTCCGAGGTGGTTCTTCGAGAAAAAACGGAAAATGTGGGACAGTCGAGGTCTCTAGATGAGGAAGATGTCAAGAAGCACCTATTAGTGATTCAGGTTGGTACATTTGCTCTAGTGGTGAACTTAAGAGCCAGACTTAACACAAATTCTTGGTTGTGTTTTACTCAACAGAACCTGGTTTCAGCGTTCAGTGATGGGAAAAGGCTGGTGGACGTCGTGGAAGGCGTAGCCTCGGATCTGTTGACTTGTGCCGTGGAAACCAGTCGCTGGAATCTGCTATTTTGGAATTTCCTGACACAAAATATTCCACCACATTCTTCAGGAGACATGAACCATCATGATACCATGCATCGAGGTTTGGCTGCTTTATCAGGATCGCACCATAATCGTTTTCAAATGGCGTTGTTGTCTACGACACAGTTTTAACCATCAGTGATGATCCGTTTCAAAAGAAGGACGCATCAATTACTCTTGAGATTCAAGCTGCAAATTCTGATTCGTTGTCTTGAGTTCATGACACAGCAAGTTATTCTTGATTGCGTACCTTACTGATAACGACCTCACTGCAATCCACTTCGCAGTTACATACCTACGACTCCATCCAATTACGGCTGTGTTTCGATGATCATCAGCATCGACCAGAACTACATGGATCAGCGGAGGCGTCTGTAAGGCCTTTCCGCGGACACGATTGGGAAGACGCTTGTCACCAGCCCAGACCGGTAAATCACTGCCAAGGTGCACAATCACCAACAATCACAGTAAACTCTCTTACGCTTGTCACCCCCCACCCCCACCTCTAGCCTGCTACCCCTCCATGCGCCCCCGGCGCGACAAACACGTCGGTTCAAATTTCAGCGTCTGGCTGGTGGATCTGTGGGTGAAATATTATTACTAGTCGTCCCAATGGCGTGATTAAGACGACAATAACAAGTGCATTTGTTTAAACTTCAAATTTTGAAGCCAGGCGCTTTTTTCGGGTTCTCCTGGCTGCGATTGGCGTTTTCACGATGTCTGACCAATGTGTGATCGAGGGCTCGTATGCCGAAAACTCTAGCATCACGATAATCGATGGCCATCTACTCGCTATTTTTTGATGGGGTGATGCTGCTGCTGCTGCCGCTGTTCCCTCAAGAAACGCGTTCGCTTTTACTTTGACAGCCAGAGGCTGTTTTATGGTCACAATATATTAGAACACCTGGTCATTAAACACAATCTCTGGCTCCCTGCCACCACACACCCCGCCGATTGGCCAGGTCGTAGCGCGTGACACTCCGATTGGTTGGCAGCCCTTTTATACCAACCAATCAGGGGTACGGTTTACGGTGCGGTGTGACAACACACAGGCCTGCTAATTGCGAGACCGCGGCACGTAACAATTACCCACTTACGATACGTTGTCCCGTTTTGCGCTACTCCTGCTTCCAGTAAAGGTTACATCGTATCAAATCGAATCTTGTGTGTTAGCGAGTGTAACGCAACATGGGCGGCTTATATCAGAATGGCAACACTAGAGTTGTGGATACAACGACTCTAGATAACCATATGTCCCCATCACTTATGGGCAATCGCAACAATGCAGCCATCGATGTATCCACCTCGCAGTACGCCACGCCGGACGGATGCCCGCTGCCTCACTCCTCAACCGGCTACTTTGGCGTGGGTGAGCACGCGAGCGCCATCCCACCGCCCGAATACGTCTACCAGCAGTCGAGTGTGTTTCGACCGTTCCACGCCGTCGATGGAACCACCGCCAACACCACCACCACCACCGCCTACCACCCAATGAACACCACGCCGCCTGCGGCCTTGGGGTGTCTCTTCAAGAACGAGAAACCGATCGATTACAAGTGAGTTCGCTTTATCGATCGTTTTGGTTTGGTTGTTTAAATCACGTGCGCCTACTCAACCAAAGAGTTAGGAGGGCAATTCAACTTTTAAAATATTGCCAGACAATGCTTCTGCAAATGCACCATTTAGTAATGTTGATTTTCTAAGTTGTTTAAGAAAATTTGAACTATTCTTGGTAATTCAGATGCACATCATGCCTATTCTCTAATTGAGTGAATTCGAACTAACAAAAACCGCATTAAAAGCATTGAGCAATGCGAACAATTTCTTGTTTTAGTGCGGTTAGTCTTGAATGGCGCCAACACATGTTTTAACGTGCACATGTGTCTGCGGTAGTGGTTGATTTACCATTTTAACAAGCTATCATCACCTAAATTGTCAATTCTGATGCTTTTTAAATACACATGCTATTTTTATTATTGGTACCTCTTATTTTAATAACTTTCTTTTGTTTAAATCAACGGTCGTGTTGATATTATGACACTTACTTCATTTGACATTACCAAATGATATTGATATTTCATTTGTTTAAATCAAATGTCGTATTGCCATTACGACATGGACTTCTTTTGCGCATAGATTAATTTACTATGGTTTTCTAACCAAAATCGATTTCGCAGATCGATTTTCCACTGTGTGCACCTCATTTACTTTCGGTATTACAAACTAGTAACTTTTCTGGAAAGAATTTTTAATCTCCACGTTGCACTGATGAACCAGTAAACGATTGTCTATTCTAATTGGTTAGAACAGTGATCTTCAGCACTATATGTGAGGCTCTGATTGGTCAACATTTATACTCATATTTGTTTGGTTCGTAGAGGCATTTATTGTTATTCTTGCCCATCACGTCAGGCCAATCAAAATCATTTTCGCCTATTCGATTACTTTTGAAAAAAAAACTTGACTTGGGAGATTCCAAAAAAGATCCAATCAGAGTTTTCTTCCAGGTCACTTGCAGCTTCTGTAAAAAAAATCGATTGCATTTATTGAGTTTTTATGAACGCATCAAAAACTAGGCCTGTCGAATACGCGTGCTGGACTGAGTAAACGAAGTTGGATTGGCGCCCAATGGACGCATCAGTCTAGCAAAAAATTCAAATTTCCTTGCTTTTTTTCACAAATTTCAACCAAAAGTGTGCCAACGCGTTAAGTGTACTGCTTCACATTGTCAAACGTCGTGTGTGTGTGTGCATTTGGGTTTAGCATGGTGTGTGGACACGATGGCATGCCGAGGACGCTACCACAACTTTCCTTCAACACGATCTGCCCACCCCTGTGCTTGCCAACGCCGAATTCATTCGACCAAGTGCCACCACAGTTCCAGCCACAACACCTGCCCCCGAGCCCTCTGCTCCAGCACCCCCCTGCCATCCACCCGACCGGCAAGTATCGATCGCAGAGCGGACTCATGGAGCTCCTCGGCTCCAGCAAGAAGCCCCAACCTCGGACGTCCTCCAGAGACGATGACTCGAAGCCCATGAAGAGGGCGGTGGGTGTGATGGAGGGGAGGGCAGGCGGAGGGGGTGGGGGAGGGGGTGGTGAGGAGGGCGGTGCCTCACGTTCCTCCTACATGTGTCGCAAGTGCCGTGCTCACGGCCGCCTCATTGCAGTGCGTCAGCACAAAAGGAACTGCCCCTACAAACACTGCAACTGCTCCGTGTGCTCTCTAGTCAACTACGGCAGGCACATAGTCGCTCGCCAGATAGCCCTCTACCGGGACCAAAAGAACCACCACGCTGACGAAGGCGGTATAGCTGGCAAATTAAAGCACGGAGTGTCAAGGTCACGAGTTGGCCTTGGCGGTGGCAAATCAGAACACGAGGAGGAGGGTCCGCATTGTAGGCGGTGCCGGAACCACGGCAAAACGAATCCATGGAAGGGCCACAAGAAGATATGCCCATTCTACTACTGCATTTGTCAGCAGTGCATTCTTATCACTCTGCGCAAGTCCAACGAGAAGAACCTGCGTGAGTTTAAAGCAATATGGTGTGTGTACTTAAATGTAATGAGTAGCCATGTTGTTATTTTTCGCCTACGACAGGCGAGGTGGTGCAGGAATCGAACAAGGAAATCGGACTGAAGACACAGGGGAAACTTGGGACCGACGAGGTTACCTTTCCACCACCATTCTACACCAAACCAACAGGCAAACCCAGACAGGAGAAGCAGAAGACCAACGAAGACCAAGAAATTCAGCCGGGCAATCAGGACGATTACGGCCTGAGGTGGACCAGCTTGACGGCAAGCAGGACAAGTATTCCACCACCGCCACCACCGCCGATGTCTCAAATTGACGCTAATTTCCAGGGGTCGGGCGGTACCACGTTGGTGGAACAGGAGGAGTCCTTCTATCCATCGCGAGCTCAGCAGGCAGCGGCATTTGCTGCTGCAGCCGCAGCCGCAGTCGCGTTTCAACAGGAGGCGGCAGCGTCACGCGTGGAGGCTCCAGTTCCAGTGAAGCAGGGCTGTCAGGCCGACTTTGGGGGCCAGTTCATGGAGGAGGCGGAATATGGCGCCATGTCGGACGCCTGGGTGTGCAGTGGTGACATCAAGTGTGTTCTGACGTCCAAGGACGTCTGCGGTGTTCCATTGGAGGAATTCTCGACGCAGACTGGAGGCGGTGCGTTTTGGCAGAGCTCGTTTTCTGCACCCAGAGATGATGATCCAATCAGAACAGGTTGGTTGTTTAACTCCGATCGATAATGTCTGGGATCGATAACGCTGTCAACGTTGTAGCAATCGACAACGCTGTCAAGCGCAAATGCTATCGATAACGGATCTGTCACAGACAAGTGCGATCGACAATGCAGTCATGAGTAGTGCGAATCGATGACTACTTTTGCCACCACCACAAATGTTTCCTGTCTAGACGTTGCTGTTAAAGGGTTGCAATGTTTTGACATCCTGCCACCCACTGGAAAACTCCACGAGTTTAGCAAAACGGCGCCACGTTCCTTCGATGATTTATAACTTAATTTTTTGCACACCTAAACAATTGTTTTGAGTTAAGAAAAAAGCGCTATTTGATGGCCTGATCTATGCACCAAATTCGTTTATAACGATCAGTAACATTTTCGACTGAACGCTGTGTTGATCGATAACAAAATCGACCCTGCTGCAATCGATTACGCGCAATAGCGATCAATAATATAGTCGCAGATGACTAGGTTGACATATAAATGCCACTACTGCCTGATGAATAATCTGCCTAGAATTATTAATGCTCCATTTTGCACAATTTTTAAACAGTAAAAAAATCCACGTGTTCAGTGCACTGGTACCAACAAATGTAATTTTCACATAATTAAATCAATCATTGTTTTCAATTAAAATAAAGGCACTTGTTTAAATGACGCACGTGCGCGATGTACCAAAATTAAATTAAATCAATCGCCTGTGACGCAGACGAACCTCTAATTACTCGTCAGGTGATCGATATGGAATGCTGAACGTTGTTTAATCGACCAGAAACCGTCATGGCACATCCGCAATGAATGTAATTTGTTTGTTTTAAGTTGACCGACTTCCGCTGTCGACGTATCAACAACCCGCGGGGAGTATTCTCGTGCCAGGAGCGTCCACAGTTCACGGAAAATCATCATCCCACGAACTGAACAACGTCGTCTAAGGGAAGAAAGGATCGATTGCATGATCAGCACTTTTGTAAATATTCACACACGCGCACAAACTATACATTTTTTTCATCTGGTGTAAGCTGCCATTTCTAGAATTGACATTGTTATAAACAAAGAGTTTCAAGGTCATTCAAAGCATCATAGATCCCCCCCACAACCAAGGGCAACGCAGGAAGTATGGCGCCAACTCATGGCCCGATTTATGTTCCTATGAAACACGCTTCAACCCGGACGTTGAAAACTAAACCACGAGGTGAAATTCGTGAATACTTTCAAAACGGCGCCAATTTGAATCGGACGGTCGTCTTAATTAAAACGCAATTCAGCAAATAACACACGAAATATCTGCTGTCCGAATATGTTGCGTCTTGAAGTGTCAACACATTTGACCCATCAATAACCTGTTGGGGATCCACGATATCCCAAGATTGCTCATCGTTATTTTTTCGGCACTATTTACGATAATTACCTAACACGTGCTTTATTACGCTTTTTATCAGGTCAAGGTTAACCTCGACTTGAATTACTTTCACTTTTGACAGTTCACTCCGCAATTTAGCTGGCGCGATTGACGTTCTCTACACGAGCTCTGGTCTTGTTCTTGTATTAGCGTGGGTAGGTCGGTGCTAGCGTTGACAAGAGATCTGGAAACGCTATTTGAGTGATTTTCTCTTTGCTACGGGCAAACGTAACAGTACCTCACTAATTATCACCACTTTTTCAAGTTCCCACATGCCTTGCTAACCCTTCAACTGTGATTGGCCGATTGATCCGATCCTGAGTTGACTCTCAGAGGGTGATGCTGATTGGACCGTACTTACTGATTCTGGCCAATCCCGTTTCGAATTAATGCCACTTTGTAGGTAATGCCACTGGCGAATTTGATTTGCATGCTAGACTAATTAACAGAACCCCACTGGCTACAGAGGCGAACCCGGACGTCGAAAATCAGCCAGAGTTGAAGAACAACAAAGCCCCAAATACAAGTGGAGGGTTTATATGTGTAAAAATAAAACACTTGATGAGGAAATATCGGTTAACAGTAGGGCGCCCAAAGGCATCGAGCTAGGTGGACTGCATATTATTAAAAAAAGTCGAGCAGGTTTTGAACGGGGCGGAGACAGACACATGACAGAAGTTGGAGTCAAACAGAAATAGGACGAGGAGGGGGGGATGACGATCCGACTGCACGCACGCACAACACTAAGAGAAGAATTGGAGCATCCCTAAGTCCCCCTCCTAGCGGGCCTTCTCGACCTCCGCGCAGAGAAAGTCGAGGCAGCTGGGGTCGGCGAGGGTGGAGATGTCGCCGAACTCCCGATCCCCGTTGGCGATCTTGCGGAGGATGCGACGAATGATCTTGCCGCTGCGAGTCTTTGGCAACGCAGGCGCAGCCTACAAGGTCAAAAACAGGCTAGACGAGGCGGTGGCAGCGGAGGGGGGGGTGAGGGGCTAAAAAACCCCCGAAATCCCACCTGAATGTAGTCGGGGGCAGCGAATGGCGCGATTTTCGTGCGCACAAGGTTGACCAGCTCCTGACGCAGCTCCGGAGTGATGGTTTGTGCGACGCCGTCGTTCAGCGTCACAAAGCAGTGTAGACACTCGCCCTTGACCTTGTGGTGCCTAGCGACCGCCGCCGCCTCAGAGACGAGTGGGTGCGACACCAGCACGGACTCGACCTCCGCTGTGCTCAAAAGGTGACCGCTCATGTTGAGCATGTCGTCCATGCGACCTGCAACGTGGAAAGAGTCGGATTTTAAGCCACGAATGCCGTCAGTCACAAACGACCCAATGAGAATGTAGAGGGTGTCCAGGCAACAGGGCGAGCGCGCACCTTGTGGTGAGTTTAAACAAACGATAGACAAAACGAGATGGAACAAACATGCCGAGGTTTTACCACTGCAGTATATGCGATTTCTTCCGCAATTGGGGGTCAGACTTTGTTCAAGGACGCACGAACTTCGTTCAGCACAAACCAATCACCCTCGAGGATGCCCCTGAGTCAAAGCCGTTTTCGGTGAATGAGGGTGACTGTATCGGTTAACGAAATCGAGTTACATTTATCCAAAAAAACTCACATATCAACGACAAAGCGCTTTCTCTGAACCGACCTACTAGGATGCGTGATTTGCCTATTAGAAATTTCAGAATTTAAGTCAAAAGTTTTCAGTGGGTGAATGATGCGTTTGATCTAACTCAAAAAGTAGATTTACGAGCACAGTCGCTCGAAAACAGTCCCGTCGCAACAGAGATGCACACGCGAGCAGTGATTTACGCCCAAAGTGTACTTTAGCGAGTCGTTGGGAGGGGTCCAGCTTCAAGTATCACCACTCCCTCCCCTTCCCCTCACCACCACCACTCCACAGATCAGACTGAGGGAACGAACAGGCAAGACAGCCAATCAAATCGCACCCAGATATCCGGTGGGGGGGAAGGGGAGTGAGTTGGTAGGGGATTAGACAGGTCTTTGGGCAAAATTAAAGGCTGCACGCAATCTTCTGTGGACATAAAAGACAGAAAGAAAATTTTACAACCTCCACTCGTAAAAGCTACCTAGAAGTCAATAAAACTTGGTGGGAGTGCAATTAACCGTGTGGATCTTTGCAGTTCATAAAACAGTCATGTAAGTGTGTGGGTTTGTGTGTGTGTGTGTGAATACCGAAGGGATGTCTGCTCATCAAATCGCGATGACCTTGACTCGGTCAACCAATGGCGGAGCGGCGGCGGCGTCAACAATTATGCAATTACATGTGACACACGTCCTGGGAAGAAGTCATCGGCGGGAACTAGGGCCTCACGTCATGCCCGCCGACACGGTGCGAAGACGTCTCATTCACTCACTCACACTGATGACATTCTAATCACCCACAATCACTAAACTGACCACACAACTCAAAAGCCGTGGGGAATGTTGCGCGGAAAATGCTGGCCTCAGACACACAGACAGTCGGATGTGGTTAAGAATTGGAGTTTACACCGGGTGACACAGCACAGTGCAATTTTGATCTCAGCCACACACGCCACCTGTAGCCCTGCCGCACAGACTTCAGAGATTACGCCAAGACATTGCACAGCAAATCACCGACAAGCTAGGCTCAAAATATTGTCGATGACATACACACTTTGACGCGTGAGTGGCGGTTGCCGTGGTACCACGTGACAATTTGCGCTCCCGATAGGGGGAGCGAGTTCACATGATACCAAACCTCGCAAGGAGATGCATCGCTATTGCCGAAGTGGCACAGAATGACGTCTAATGCGCTTTTAGCGACGCAGTTAATTCAGCATTACAACGCAGAATGTGGGTGCAGAGGTGGCTGGCGATTAGCCGTCTACCTGTAATCCAGATGTCGCCGTCTTCATCGACCACAGCGCCATCGCCACTCATGAAGAACCCGGGGAAGCGTTTGAAGTAGACGTCTTCGAAGCGCGCGTGGTCGCCGTAGACGGTGCGCGCGATTCCGGGCCAAGGCGCGGCGAAGACGAGGCAGCCCTTCTTCAGGTGGCGTCCATCGTCCATCCAAACAGCGCCCGCCTCGTCGTTGGCGCAGTCCGGACTGCTGTTGACGATGCGCGCGTCCACGCCGAAGAACGGACGTCCAGCACATCCGGGTTTCATGGGTGTTGCGCCTGGCAGGGTGGTGATCATGTGACCGCCAGTCTCCGTCTGCCAGTAGGTGTCCACGACGGCACACCGACTGTCACCCACCACCTCGTAGTACCACGTCCACGCGGAGGGGTTGATCGGCTCTCCGACTGTACCCAGAATCTGCAAGGGGGGCAGGTAGTTGAGAAACACCACCACCACCACCGCCACAGCCAGGAGTGTCAAAGCACTCACCTTCAAACTGGACCGGTCGTACTTCTTTACGTGCTGCTCTCCCGCACCAATCAGCATGCGAATGACGGTGGGCGCGGTGTAGAACTTGGTCACCTGGTACCGTTCCACAATGGACCAGTAGCGCCCGAAGTCTGGCCAGCTTGGAAGGCCTTCAAACATGACGCTGGTCACGCCGTTCAGGAGAGGACCGTAGACGAAGTAGGTGTGGCCTTAACGCGACAAAAGCGACTTAGCCTCGAAGCACACCGGAGACACAAATGTTTACGTGATTGCTCAACTTAGGTGTGTCGTTCTCGTGTGTGTATGTGTGTGTGTGTGCATGAGCAATAAAGTTGTTGATCACAACAGTCGATGGATAGGAATCAACACAACTCACCACGGTTTTATTACTATGAAATACTCTAGTTGAATAACAACAATCAATTAACAACTGCTATCGTGGGATTACTACGAAGTGGTTTTCAGCAGTGTTCATTCGTGTAGCAAGTGCTATGATTTTCGACTTGTTGGGTGTTCATATCGACGTAACCCTCTTGACGAGTGACAACAGTTTCGTGGTCGTATCCACCCTGAGCATACTGCTATTCCGTCTTCCACGTTATGAAACCGTCGAGATTGCGTTAAATCTGGACTAGATATTCGTCGTTTTCTTCGGTCGGGTGAAACCTCCACGCAATAGACGATCAACGCCTTGTGGACTCTTGTCGAGTTTTCTGGTGTTCCATTCAGGCCGTCTCACCATTCCGAAGCTGACATCCCAAAAGGTACAGGTTGAATCGGTTAGGCACGTGTTCTGATCGAAAACATATCACACCCAGGACAATCTCCACAAGCGGGCTAAAAGCTCGCTCTAACGACCACTTGGTTGGGCGCTGACTCATGCCCTTTGGTGCGCTAACGAAATCTGTGGCTGTTCTACGACACACACGCATGCTTCGCTGGTAAATGCAATTTGTGTCTAGCGCGTAGCAAGAATGGTGAAACAGCACAACACCCGTTCACTAAGTCGCGCACCAGGTCATTCGCTGAGGGATCAACTCAAGGTCGGGTTAGATTAACAAACAAACAAACCAGGGTCAGTTCAGAGGTCAGTTAGACTAAAACGATAGACAAACACACACACACACACAGAACGCGCATGTTTGGCAAAAATGAACACGTGATGTCAATCAAAATCAGCTACACCAAAACACACGATTTTCAGTTTTTTACAAACGAGGTAAAATGAACGGGAGACGAGTGTGCCTGTCTGGGCTAAACATGATTTTAAGGCGTTTTTTAGAGCGCTTAAATCTACATTTGTGGAGACGTGGGTTTTCACAATCACCAGAGGATATTGTAGCTAACTTACAACCCTAGCCTTCACCGACATCCACAGAACATGATGGGTCAAGCGTCAACACGGACAAATGAGAGGTACGGAGTGGGCTTCAAGTACCAATCAACTTGCGGTAAACCTGTTTGTACACGCCTCCGCTCAAACAAGTCCACTAACGCGCCACTACATGATCAATTCCATTGTGAATTATTCACGCTGGGAAAACTGAAAAAAAAAGGCATTTACGTGACCGATTCGAGGCGTCGAAACTAACGTGGATTCAAGCGTAGCAAGGGGCAAGCCAATGGCTACCAAAAGGAGCACATTCAAACAGTTTCATGTGTGGTGTGTGCGTGTGCTACAATGTTCGCCGCCCGCAGTAAACCAGGAAACCTTGGGGTGGCTAGAAACACGGGCACAGCACAGCACACATCAAAAGTACACCGAAGTCAATGTGCACGGAACCAGAAAGCACATTACAATTCAGCAGATAAAAACCACGCGTGCCTTAGCTTGCTCTGTGGTCGAGGGTAATTAGGCGGCACAAACGGGGCGTACATGGGGTGTGTTGATTGCAGCCAGCCAGCCATTCGTGCACAGCGAACAAGAACTTGGAAATATGTGCAAAATACCCCTGAACAAGTTTTCAGGGGATCCGTCCAACGCCAGTAGATACCCCAACATTTCTTTTCATCGTATTCAAAGGCGTGAATCAGCGGTTTATGTACTTGCACAGCGATCTCTTGTGTTCCCATACACCATTTGATCCGAAATCATGAAAAAGCGCCCAATTTAGTCGAGTGCTGAGCGACAGGCACGATTAACTGATCGGCTAACAGCCGACGCATTTACTGCTGGTATTTTAACTATGAGTAAGCGTGCGTTCGCCAAAATTCTGCGCACTTACCGGTAATCCAGCCGATATCGGCAGTGCACCAGTATATGTCATCGGGATGGAGGTCGAACACGTACTTGGCGGTGGTTGCGGCGTAAACCATGTAACCGCCGGTGGTATGCAAGAGACCCTTGGGTCGACCAGTGCTGCCACTGGTGTAGAGGATAAAGAGGCCGTCTTCCGCATCCATCCATTCCACGGGGCATTCGGCTTCGGTCGGAGGAACAAATTCATCCCACCAAACATCACGCCCAGCGCGCATTCGGACGGAGAAACTTAGGAAGGAAAAACAATGCGTATTTCCTGTAGCTGGCAGAAGAGGTCAGAGCATTTATTGGGAGAAAAAAGCAATCTATTCGAGATTAAATTTTGCGCACGAAGTCTTCGTTTCTTCACAAAATGCAGGGGACAGGTGGGTAATTCAAGCTGAGTGAAAGTAAAAATATCACCAAATATTCAACATATCGAGGGGTAAACATACTCGGGTACAGGACGAACACCAACTGTGGTGGAGGAGGGACAGCCGCTAACTGGCAAATTAGACGTGGCATTGTTTTTCGGGGGAGTTAAATGGCGCAGGACAATGCAATGTTGTATGGGCTGCAACTTCGACTCACAAATGTCCATTGCCTCATTTGCTACCTTCATCAAATCGATGAGTTTTGTGCCGCGCCAAGCTCCATCACACGTAACGATCACACGACACCTAAATGCAGTTTTACAAATTAAGATGAAATGCATACCCTGCAGCCATTAGGCGCTCAGATAAAGACTCAGCGGAAAAACCGCCGAACACAACCGTGTGGATAGCGCCGATGCGAGCGCAAGCGAGAACAGCAACGACCTGCTCAATTACCATCGGCATGTAGATTGCCACTCGATCACCTTTGCCAACACCCATTCTATGAAGAGCAGCCCCAAAAGAAATCACCTAACGAAGCAGACATTTAATACACGACAGTCAAAGGAATAAAAAGGGTAAATAAGGCAAAAATTCTAACCTCAGTTAGTAATTCTTGATATGTTATTGACTTTCTGTCGTTGGGATCGTTGCCTTCCCACAGAAATGCAATTTTAGAGCCCAGACCATTTTTTACATGTCTATCCAGACAATTGTAGCATAAATTTGTTTTCCCGTCTGCAAACCAACGAATGAAAATGTGACCCTTTTTCAAGTCAAAATTGTAGGAAAGTGCGTTCTCAACTTTTGGTTTAGTTTCCCAATGAAATTGAGATGAAATATTTGTCCAGAATTCGGCAGGCTTGTTAATAGATTTCTTATACCACTCATGATAGGTATCCATTGAGCTCATGTAAGATTCATTTGCAAGCCCCTCCGGAGGGTAGTAAACCTTTGAATCGCTCATTGCGTTGCGGAATACGTGAATGAATTACCACACTGACGAAAGCCTTAAAATACCGCGGGAAAATACACACAGCCCTTCCTCATGCCATTTGATGCGGACAAACTAATTTGATTTTATCCAAAAATACTGTAAATTTAAAGCTTTGGATTTATATGATTTAAATTTATGTAAATGCGCTATAAAATACTTTTTTAGAAGTAGTGCTTTAAGTTTCTGTGATGCAAACAATGTTATTTCGTTTGAAATGAACAGATTACTAGCTATTGAAGCATTCTATTGCTCATAAGGTCAAGACGCTAAAGTGTTCTTTTAACAATTTTTCATTTCATAAATTGCTTACAAAATTAACGGTAATTGTGAAATATATTTGCGATGACCAATTGGGAGCAACTTTTTAGACGAAACACGTTAAAACATATTTTGAGAGCAGCGAAAACATTTTATGCAGACATAGTCTTTCACTTGTACTATACATGATTTGAGGTCGCAAATTTACATCACTTATATTTGGCTCGCCTTTGCCTACATATAGTTGACTGTAATAAACCGATGCTGAATTGTGCAATCTGCATAAAAGCGCTGCTGTATTTCATGCACAATGTTATGAATGTCAGCTAAATTAAAGCTGCTAGTTGTGACATATATTCAGTCAATTTCAGTTTAGTTTATTACAAAATTACTATTACTTTAATCGTTTGTGCACTACAGCACCATATCAGTGCTACTTATTCAAATCACAAATCACTCGGAGATCGATGAGACATATATTAGTTGGTGCATCTGAGTTCGCACTAAACTATCGCCACGACTTCTGCGCTAGCTTCTTCATTTATTCTGCTCTTTGGTTTGTAGAACACAACTATTTTCACAGACTGCAGTCTTCACTTATTCTAGAAAGCATTCGATGTGCCGACCAAGGGGCTCCAACTACCAGCTCTTAAATTTACATCAAAATACCGGGAAAAACATAACCTAATCATTTTTTGATGTGGGACGCAATGTTCCATTTGAGCAATTTATTTTTGGCATTATATTCTTGATCATCACAAATAAGGATTGTAGATAAACTTTAAGCCCAAGATAAACTAATTTGCTTATTATAAGGGAAGTAACTTGAAAAATCTTGGTCAAGTTTCATTAAATTTTTTTAAAATAAAAAGCACTGTTTTGAATTGTCGATAAATCAAATCAAAAAATTATCAATTGTGGGTACCGGTCTCATTTTTAAAGAAATTTCCACTTCATGTGTTTTATAGGAATTCATCATAATCACGAAACCACCAGGGGTTCTTCAAATTGATGACCTAGAGTTTTTAGCATAATAAATTATTAAAAGACCATTTTGGTAATATTCCTTATTTTTGTAGCGATGTCAAGCTTAAGGACATTTATACCTATTCATCCGGTCTCTTATCACACACATAATAATGCAGTCTATTGGTTATCTAAATTTTATGAGTTGCAGCACACTGAGTAAGTCCCCGATTTATGAGTTGCCCTTAGAAGCGAATGTTTGAGCTTATATTGTATTGCTATTGACAAGAAAAAACTCAGGAACATGCCTGTTTGGTTTTCTCTTGGCTATGCCCGCGTTTAAATATCGATTAAATGGATGGAAAATATAATTGATGTTTTTATACCCGAGTCAGTCGGCGTAAACATAAATACAAGGCAAATGTTCAGGTTTAAACATATATTCAGAGATGTTTTTTTAAGCATTTGGGCTTTTTAATTAAACTTTTACTAATATTAACGCAGATTTAAAAAGTATGAAGTTGGGTTGAAATGACCTAGCTTTAGAGCGGCAAATCATTTACTTAAATCCGTTGGAGTCTTTATTGTTCTAGGAAACACAACGGGTGTACCATAATCGAATTGCTTGAAAAAAGTCTGCTTACTTTTACAGAAGAGCTAATGCATGATATTGTGCAGGTACGCTTACCATAAAAGCTCGGTTTTACTCGCTGATTTATGGCATGTAATTAAAAGCAAACACGATAAAGTTGCAATTAATGCTCTTGGACACATGCCTTTCATTGACTGATAAAAAATTTTTTGTTGTACCTGAAACAGGTCTGATAATAGGGACAATAAGTAAAAGACAGGAATTACACAAAGCCCTGGTCACTGATTCTAATTTTACAGAGCCTGTGTTTCGAATAGTATTCTCCTGCAATTGCATTAAAGCACCTTTAGCAGTCAGCATTAAATGAAGATTTACCTTAAACAACCTTAAATGCGCATATGATTTTTTTAGATTAACTTGTTTCAAAAATCTTAGGCCGTTTTAATTTGGCAAAATTCCAAAAACAACTGTTTGTAGAATAATTTGGATCAGTATTTTAAAGGACAGAATTTTGCGAAGAGATAAAACCTAACCTTTATCAAACTCATTAACTTGTAATGCACATATAAAGTGTGCCTTTCTGGGCCTTATCATTTATAATTGAAGAATAATTTTACTTGTCAACATGCATTTTATCTTTTAACATGAGTTTATATAGATTTCCTGAGCCCTAATGGGAAGACTGGTTCAACAGACAGGCTTTTTCGACTGATCAAATTTAGTATTGCCCGTCTTCTGCTATCCATCCGAACCCCTTATACTGGCTGCATTACTCATAATTGCGTCCTTATCTCTAGTTGGCTGTTAGTCTAAAAACCCCTAAATGCTGGTCAGCCAAAATGCCTGCGCCCACTTTGGCGCCGCAGTTTTTTTATTTTTACTTTTGTCGTATTTTTGTAGAAGTGTGCCTTGACACGCATTTATAGACCAACGACATTTTTAAACAAATGTTCTTTTTGTAATTTTGGACTAAAGGGAACGTTTCCCCCTACTTTCTGTTTCAATTTGTAGTGGTCCCTCGTTTATTTTTTGTTGACATGCACTGGAGAATGCACGATCCGTTCTTTTTGGATGTAATTTGGTAGTTTCAGGTCTAGGTCTGTTTAATAGTTGTTTTGGGTGCAGCTAAGATCGATCTACGTTCTCGACTATTACTGTGTTTGCAAAATGTCCTCTAATTTTGTCCTAATAACCTATTTTCAAGGCTTTTTTTTATAAGCATTTATTTTGTGTGTGGCTTGTGATTTTTTTCACCACGAACTGGTTGTATAACTGCCTGCAATTACAATTATTTGATGCTTTTGATTCTAACCACAATTAACAATGGGTTGATGCGACTCTCTAACTCAGGTGGCTGCGTTTTTTATGCGCATCCACGCTTTCCTTTAGGTCTACACCCCAAGTCCTAGCTGCCAGAATGCAGTTCCAACGCGGCCGTCAACTACCGTGCTATCGCGGGTGAGTAAACGCCACCTCATCACCTTTTCGGCAAAGTACTCTCACGCAAACGGGCTTAATTTTGTTTCAGAAACCGGCCTGTTCCCTACGTAGCTCACGTAACCTTTGACCCTATCTTCTGTGCGACTGTCTTTCCCGGAGCCGATCTTCCTTACGAGAACGAGGAGCTTTCAAAACTCCTTATGGACGTTCACTCGCGACTGACACCGTCGGTTGACGAACAGCAGGCCGTCGCCACTTTGGTGACCAAAGTGCTCGAATGCTTAGAAGCCATCGCCTTAGACAGAAACAAGTTCTCTCTCGGGGTAAGCAGGTATTTCATTTCATCCGGCGATTATTTCATTTTGCATGACTGAAATTCCACAAAAGGCTTTGGTCCTAAAGCAGCTTAGGATTTCGGAAAAATTGACATCAAATGTGTCTGTCATAGCACATTGAAGAGATTCGGTCAATTGGCTCGTTCAAAAAGGGGACAATGTTGGCGGGACACTGCCTAGCGGACATTGTTGTGGTTCTCCGTGGTCTGCCCTCTTTCGAGACGACAATGATGCTTGGCTTTCTGCTGAGGACAGAATTTCTGGCCAAGGAGACTGGTGAAATCGACGAGCCACCGGAGTGCTTGCCGCGCTCGTATGGCTTTGATTTCGCCTACCTCGGCGCCTGCGTTCGTGTCGCCTTCACCACCCACAGCCCTGAAAAACCAGAACCCGGGATTCACAGTGCGTTTCGACATGCCTGTGTTTTTTTTTGTAGTAAACATCCCCTCTTTCGCATCTCGCTTTTTTAGTAAGCGCACCTGATCAAAATGTCGCCAGAGCTGCCATCCTCCACGCACGATGGGTAGAAGAGAAAGCCTCTCACACGAAGTAGGTCAATCTGTGGCTCTCCGTTTAATCGATTCTCTTTAAAGAGTAGTGGTGGGGGCTCCTTTAAGTCCTTGGTGTGGTCCTCGACATCTCTCCAACTTGCCCAGTCTTTGTTGAATGCCTGTGGTAGTTTCAACAACAGCGTCGACGCATATTTCGACCACATTGGAGGCCTCACCAACGCCTCCTGACTGTAAAATTCTTGGTTTGTTGGTGTGAACCAGCCGTCCGATCGCATTACTAACCGCCTTTATGTCTTCTCCTAGTGTCAAGGCGCTCGTGCGTATCGTAAAGGACTTCAAACGACGATTTTTGGGTTTCAATCACCTCAGTCCCTGGCAAATAGACCTCCTTGTGAGTGCCACCTCTCTCCTTAATTCCCCTGGTGTTACGATTGGCACTTGCCCTCGCCCCGCATTTACCCTCCCTCCCTCTCTCCCTAGGCGTTCTACGCGGTCACACAGAACCCCCTCAACACACCCCTTCCGCTGTCTGTTGCTTTCCGGTAAGCCCGAATCCTGGCTTATTCCGAAGTTGGTGATTGGTTTTTGACGTCTTTTCACCCCCAGACGGCTCATCCAGATTCTTGCGGCCGGACACTTTCTGCCAGGCAGCGCTGGATTACTCGACCCCTGCGAACCATCCAGTCGACGTGTTCACGTCTCCCTCAGTCTCAATCAACAGGTCAGTTATGCATTGAGTTTAGTTCTGTGTGCTTGTGTGCTTGTTGTGAAGGCGGTCGTCAGAATCTGTGCTTTCAAGGCCGAGCAGCACTCTCTCATCAAGCACGCGTTTCGGTGCGTTGGCACGAAAACTCCGTACTAGAGTCGCCTTGACTAACCCACCTCCCTTCCGCCTGCAGGACGATCTGTGTCGCGCGGCCCAGACCATGTGCCGAATTCTAGCCCTCGAGAAGTTCTCTGTTCTCTTTGCCAACATGCGTCCCACGACGCCGATCACGCCAGGTCAGTGGTTCAGTTGGTACCTGTTTTAATCTTGTCGAAGAACCTCGAGCTGGTTGCCTGTTGCCACGTGCTACCTAACTTTGTGTGCCTGTTTCAGCGCAACTTGTGGAGGCCGCGAACGCCCTGCCGGGAGTGAAAATCGAGTTTGCCGAGCCCGTTTGCATGGAACTGTCGACGAGCACTGCAGTAGTGGAGCAGTTAGAAGCCGTCTAGGTTGAGCTGAGCTGGGCGTTTGTTTGAATAAACTGCACACAACTCAAGGTCAGGTGTGGTGAATAAGTCGTTGCGCAGGCATCATTCAGTTTTGAGCAGTTAATGCAGATCTCTATATTCAACAAATGTATGGGGGTCATAATGAATGAACGGCGGCGCTGAGTTAGACGCTTGTTTGAATAAAGTGCGCAGAATTCAAGGTCACGTGTCTCAGAGAAGTTAGGAGCCGTAAATTCGGAATTCTGTATTCAACAAATCTACCGATTTAACATAGCAATACTTAAAAAGTGACATCAGCAACGTTAGGACGTTCTTTCGCAGCAAGATTCTGCGAATTATGAGGGAAGCTGCCACCTCCCCATGCTCGCCAGTGTTGCCTTTAAATGATTTCCATCTTTAGGCAAAACTTTGAGTGTAAACCAGGAGGGAGTTTTACTGCAAGGGCATTAAAATGCCTGCTGAACGCTGGAAAGAGGTGTTGACTGACGCCAAGGAACACATTATTGAATTAAAGGGACCTCTTTTCACCAGTCTGCGGAGTGTTCGTTGGTTCTGCGCGCTCATACTACTTGTCCGACTGTGAGTAGACTAATGAGAGCCAAATATTAAAACGCAATCTTTTGAGCATGAAAAAGGCAGGAGACACGTCTGTTCACAAAAAAAGGGGGACACGATAATGGTTAGCATTGTGGTTAGGCAGACATTAATTAACTCGTAGCCACAATGAAGCTCCACAATCGAGAGGTGATGATGACGATGGCGGCGGGGTCGGCGGACGTCGAGTTGATGTGCTAGTGCCGTAGAAGCTTCTTCACACTCCGCGATTTCGACTGCGACTTGGTGGCGAGCTTGGCAGGTAGATCACCGAGGGTGGAGTTGGTCGCGCTGACACCCGGCGTCTTCGGCAGGTCGCCTGCTGTGCGTGGACCCGCAGGCGGTCGTGCGGTGTTCATCGACGCGCCTCCCGTGTACTCGAACTGTGCCAAAGCAAAAGCTACCGATCAATTACCTAGTTTGCCGTATTTTGGAACTCTAATCATCACTGCTGTGTGGCTGGTGTGCTGTTGGTCGTAGGACTAGTCAGTTGCATGGCCGAGTGCGCTAGCGGTTCAGCAGGAAGCTAATATCACGCTTACCAAAATGGCAAAGTAGCACCCATGTACAGGTTTTTACGCTCTTGCCTTTAACGCTTCAATTTGGACGTACCTCGTGATTACGCGGATGTGGAGAGTGCCCAGGGTGCAGACCGTTGAGGCTTTCGCTGGAGGCGACGCGAGGCCTGTTGGTACCTGGGGGACCTGTAAGGTCTGGTTTTTGCAGCCGGTCCTCCAGTTCCTGGAAACGCAAATACAAAAATTCAGACTCCTTTAACAGTTTAGAATGCCTGTACTCTTATTTATCAGTCGCGGGTAGATTGTAGTGGATTACAGTAATCTCAAACTTCTTATTGGTTGTCCAAGGTCATAGTGCAACTTATCAGCCAATCGGAGGCATTGTTAATCAAAGCAGCCATCAAACACACAGCCAGCCATCCATTGAGGTGGAATGTACAATTAAAACAAACCTTAGTGACAGGCGCGGGAAGGTTGCCCTTAGGTACCTGAAAGGGAGGCAGAATGGGGAGATGAGGAGGGGAAATTTAAACAAGACATGGAGAATGGCCTGGGGATTAGAATTAGTTCCACAGTGGCGACAAGGTTTGGAGCAGGGCTGCAGCGTTACCTAGCAAGCGATTTAACCGGTTAAAGGCTTCGGTATCACGTGGGATATGCGTTACACGGCGGGTGAACGCTTGCGCATGTCGTTCATTAACAGGCCTGATTTGCAGTTATAAAATCGGCAAAATTTGAGGTACCTTCACTGTATAAACTTGCATGGTTCGCGAGGGTAGCTAGGACACAATTTTAAAGAGTGGAGGGTTAAGTGTTTCCGGTATTGAATTGACGTCAGGTTTGATTTTCAGGGCAAGGCGCGTGTGCTCAGTTTGATTGGACAGCACTGTTATCCAATCAGGAGTTACCAAGGCAGTGGCCATAGCACAAGCCAATGGGCTGGACCGTGAGTGGTTAAGATGTCGATATGACCTCGAATTGACCTATGGGAAGTGAGTTGATTGTAATTGTACTTAAATCACCAGAAAATAATGGCGTGGCACTAGGTGATGAGAGCCAACAAGAGACTTCAAACATCATCCAGATCTGATGAACTCAAACTGTATTCAAGTATTGATTATTGCAGGTATCGGGATACGTCCAAGATGTAGTCCACACAGCAAACATGACTTTTTTTTAGGTGGCTCCTTTTAAGAGTGAAACGCTGCAATTTCATCGGTTTACTTACGGGTCTGGTCTCGTTTCGGAGGGACTGGCTTTGGGTGAGAGGGAGGGAGGTACTTTCTACCTCAGTCTGTGGCGCGAAGTGCAAGCTACACGTGGAACCTGAAGCAGCAAACTTGCAGTCAATAAACACACTACGCAAATGTCGCAAGTAGAGCGTTTCAATTCACCGTGTGCCTTGAGCCTGCCCATTTCAATGCCACGGCTGGCGTGCAGGTCGATCTGCTCCTGAAGAGTTCGGCGATCCTCTTCGTAGTGGTGCTGTTTCTCCGCGAGGTCTTTGGCGAGGTTCTTCAGCTTCTGGTCCTCACGCTCAAGTCGAGCTTCCTCTTTTTGCTTGTAGGCGTTCCACGCCTTCTGCTCGCACTCAGTTTTCTTTTGCAGCGACCGCAAGTATTCCAACTCGCGCTTGGCATTAATCGACGTTTGCTAGAGGGCAAAACAGCCGCAATAGTCAAACGCCGAGCTCAATTCTATTTCAATTAACTTAAACAAATCTCCACGAGCAGGATTCACGTGACTTTGCTAGCGTCAACACCTACCCCTCCTGCGATGTCCACTTCGGCCTTGAGACGTATAATGTCCTTTTCCATCTCCAAACAATGAATATACTGATTATCGTAGTTCTCCTATAAATTAGAAAAAAACCAGGGCGTAACCGGGGGCTGATAGGCGCTGATGCAAAGGCATTAATGAACACGGAAACGTTCCCAGACTCTTAGAGAAAACGCCCAAACAGAGAAAGGGGGGGTTTAGTGTCCTCTCAAGTAACTGACATGGATGGGGGAGATTGCATTTTCACTAAGTACATCTACAATTTGCCTTTATCGATCGTAGCTGCGCCTAATCAATTCTGCTCGATAAAGAGGTGTCCAGAAACGCACCAGAAGACTCCTTGCCAGTTCTTGGATGTCGGCGATCAGCGCGTTGGAGTTGGAGAAGGTGGCCAACGAAGATTCTGAGGCCCCGTCAGACAGATCCATTCCAGGCGTCCAGTCATCGCGTTGGAAGTCAGTTGGAGAGGCGATGACAGAGGCACCGTCAGCTCGACGTCGACTGCCAGTACGCAGGATATTTGAGAATCGATTCTGCGACTAAAAAGCAATTAACAGGAGTGTGGGTATGCAAGACCGGTTCGGGTGTGGGTTAGCAGTTAACCGGGGGAGGGGGGTGGAGGGGTCCAAGCATAAGGCCGATAATTGCAAGTGATGCCGAGGCTGGAAGGGATACAAGCTTCCGAGTTGTGGCGTAAAACTCGAACTCTGTCGGTGACCTCAGCACTCATGATTCTACACGCTGATTGGCTACTCAGAATTTCCGTTAGAGGTGAGAACATCTAATGAAGCGCCCGTGTTAGAAGGAATAAAATTTCACCGGCTGTTACCTCGACACTACGGCGTCGAGACGATCTAAGATGGAATCCCTGGATAGAGCAAATGTTAAAAAAATAATCTATGAAAAGAGAAGAATTTTGTGTAATACTACTACTGGCGATATTAGTAGTACTCGTGTCGAGGATGACTTACCCTGGACTTGATACGCAAGGTGATACTCTCCTTCTCCGATTTTTCTGCAAGTTAAAAGAAAATGAAGGGCGATAGTTTACTCACGCCTTTCAACTTTCGGTTAAACCAGCGCCATCCTAATTTTTCTCTACATTTGTGCAAATGCACACCATCCGTAATATTCGGATCGACCGCTCTTCTCCCATTGGCTCATTCATCTTAGATTGTGGCATTGATCTTAAATTGCAGTCAAGGTAGCTTGAGGTGGTAAAAAGTCATGGTTTTTTTCCTCTTATTGATTCCTGATTCCCTCTAAACAAATAAACACGTTTTGGTGCAGAGAAGTCAATTTGCATGATGGTGATCATTAGCCATCTGGCATAATGTCCCGACCAATCGACATCGATTTACCGCCCACTCAAACGATCCACTTGTGATAGCTATTTCAGAAAGTACTATGATTGAAATTAGTAGTTACAAAGTGCGCAGTTTGGTCTACTGCGATGAGTTGGTGAAACGCAATTTCTAAATTAAAGTCTGTAGAAAAAGTCAATTACCGTGAACACAAAGAAAGGACTTCTTTATCAATGCATTGTCCAGTTTATTCAAGGAACCTGTTCCAGTTGTCGGGCAAATTCAGGATTTTGTGCGACTTCAAATTATCATTAACATCATCATCATCATCATCATCATCATTTATGGCAGTTTCATCATTCAAGCAAACGCTTAAACTTCAGCTTAAAATCGAGGTTGATGTTAAAAACTTGGGGCTGCCTTTGTGGACGAGGCAACATCACCAGAGATGTGTGCCGAAGCATTGTATTATCGTATGAAAAACAGGTTTTCTGTGGTATGCATGGTTTAGTTTCATCATTTGCTGCTAGTAGACACCTAAATTTATCGTTTCGTTAAATGGAAGCAGCTCAAGCTACACAAAGCCTTCGTTTTGAATCTCACTGGAGGGACAGATTAATCTGATCAGGTGTGACGCGAAGCTTGACACGTTTTGTGCTGGTTCATTACGTGTGCACCATGATCGTGTTCGATCAATGTTATGGCAGATAATCGATTATCATCATCATCATTAGTTACGGTTCGATTAGATCAGGACTATCTATTTTGTCGGAGATGTGCATCGAACACTTTGATTGGTTGGGTTTGGTAAATTTGTGTGGCTTTTAATTTTGGTGTTTGTGTGCCACACACTGTAGGGTAAACTGATGTCCTCTCCTGTTGCTCCCTACCACTACTACCACCGCCACCGTTCGTTTGTGTGGTACTTCATAACACACTTTCGCTGAATCGATGCTCAAATGCTATTTAGAGTGACTGGAAGCAAATTACAGTGAAACAATGCAAAGCAGGAGCGGTATCGGATTTGAAGTGGAACGTACTTTTTAGACTGTCGTAGGCGGCGGCAATTTCCGGCGTAGGCGGCATTGCGCTGCTGCAGGAGAGACGACGATCGGCGGCATCGGATGCACTTCGACTCAAGCCCGTAGAATCCACCTCACCGCATAAACTCGCCAGGCGCATAACTTGAAAATCGACAAAACTAAATTTGCACACAGAACCAAAAGTTTTGGTGCCCCCAGCTCAAGGAGGTAGCAGACGTACCGCTTTTCATGAACCTGTCATGAAGATTTCGCACTCTTATCTGCTCGTCTTCAGATTGTTGCAAATCTGACTGACTGGTAATCGATCTTCGGTTGAAGAACGGATCCCTATTGGTTGAGCGAGAGCTGCTTGACCTTGATGCTGGTGTGGTCAGACCCTCGTCAATCATGAGCGCCCTAAATGCAATGTTTCGGACTTCCCACTGAGCAAAAATGTCCGTCGTCAGGGAGCTTATCAACTCCAACTTCTCCTCCTGACGCCTCCTTCGCGCCTCCGCGAACTCAAGTTGCCTGGTGTTCTTCTGCACTGGAAGGAAATCGATAAAAATGCGTTACCGTGGCTGGCAGCAGCCAACCAAAGTAATACGCCCACACACACGCTGACATTCAAATCCAATCCGCTGGCAATTGGTGTTCGCGTATCGATTTTCGTGCGCAAAAAATCAATACCAAATTAGAATTTAAATTTTTTGGGCTAGCGCTTTTGACGTATCACCAAAGCGTCAAACAGCATTTCCTTGCTCCACTTTTAGTCAATCAAGATCTGGATTCTACTGGACATACAATTAACGTGTCATGTTTGCAATTTAAAATAACCTTTCGAAGTAAACTATTGGAAAGAATTTTAAAGCGCATATAATTTGTGTCGACATGAGGTTATGGCAACGTTTAAAATAGTTCACCAATACTGGTAAAATTGAATCAGTCACCAGAGTTGCAATAATGTGATTGGCTGATGAAAGCCAGTTAAAAAGCGCGTGAGGCCGCGTAACCAGATTGGTGGAGTTTGTCTCGTCGTCTTAGCGACTGGTAGGAATGAACGTTTTTTGTTCCAACTCACACAATGTCTCCAGTTCCGGTTCGTTGACCTTGCCGAAATTATCGAATCCGTCGGTAAAGACCTTCTGCCACCGCGCCACTTCGTCGTAGGTGGAACACTCGAACTTGTCCAAGGTCGGTGTGGCGTTATTGGTGTCCATGATGATGATGAAGGTCAGTGGTGAACCGGCCTGATCCCGAAAGTAGCCGAAGTGTAAAGTCCATATGAGGATTGGAGGCTGGGGTTTGGGGAAGGCAACACAATAACATCGAAAAATCAATATTTCTTATTGGCATAAGTTGAAAATAATCAATATCCAAACACAAAATGCAATATTTAAACTAACAGTTTGGAGTTTCTTTATGTAAATTCTTCTTAACAATCAAAAACATTTTAGCATGTTGGACGTATTATCGTAGAAATAATGTGGTCATTGCGGCATTTTGAGGCCGATTTAAACAAGAATAAACACAACGCATGTTTGTTGAACAATTGGATTTATCTATCAATGTCGCCAGTTAAATCGCCATGAAAATTATTTTGTTGATAACGAAACCGATGGAAGGTTGAAGGAGCAGAGTTTGTTAAAATCAATTTCAGCCCAAAATCGACAACAATGCATGCGGTTCTTTATACCATTAAAAAAATCCCGGCACATTTGGTTAGATCGATTTTGGCGCGGAACGCAAGCTTTCGAGCAAAATCGATAAAACTATCGATTTTTTTTATGTATAACACCACAAACGCACTGTTTTGTAGCCCGCAGATACAATTGCTGGGTTGGGGTCAGCTTACCATGTTGGTGTCGCGGTAAATCGCAAACTTTCCCGTTTCGGGGTCCTGACGAAGAAGGAAAAAGCAGTCTTTCAGTGCTACTCCGTAGAGCTCTACAATTGACAGACACACACGCACAGCATAAAAGTGTGAACAAAAATAGCTGCTCACATCAAACACGGGGTGTGGCTGACGGTAACCCTCAAAGTGTGTATACAAACGCACGCAAATCCAGTCTTACAACTGAGTTTCATTTATTTTCAAGGTGGAGTACACGAATTTGCGTGACTGCACATGATGACGCGATGTTTCGAGAATCAGTCGCTGCGCGAAAATAATAAGAAATCGAAACCCCATTGGTTAAAGGACCTATTTTAGCATCTGCGGAAAGCCAATCACAGCCCAGTCCATTGCGTCAATTCAACTAGACCACAATAATGGCGCAATCGATTGGCCGACTGTAACAGCTAGAATCGCCACGTCGCTTCGTCAAACTTGTTCGATAACTCGTGAAAAAAATTGAGGAATTTGGTGAAAAAGTGTTGTCGCAAATTCCACATGCATTATCTCCGAATTTTTGCAATCAAGTCGAGTTATTTCACATGACATGCTCTCATTTCAATGGATAAATTTGGGTTATTCAGCCCGCCGATTACATAGGAGTGACCATGACGCGACGATTGGTTGATTCAAATCACGCTGGTTAAACACATCAACCAATCAGAAAGCTCACTAACCTATTTTACAGAATTTTCCACCCTCTTTGCGCCTTTGAACGGTGAGTTTATCGTAGTTGATGAGCTTGGCGTCTGGCGCCTTCATCCACTCGATGAGGGTGCGGTGTTTGGGGTTACCATCGTTTATGTCCACGTAATCCTCCAGCAGGTTGTCCGCGAAGTACCGCAGCTTCTCGGCGTGCACCAAGTCGGTCATGTTCTGCTGCATCCCCAACAACAGATTCTGCGCTGCTCTTCGCGACGCATTTAGGTCATCGAGTTCTGTTGAATCGTCTTGCACTGTGATAGGCGAAAATTCCACAAATTTACTCACTTAAGACCAAATTTTTGTTGCACTAAATCCCTCAATTTCCAGAGGTTTCTCCCTGCCCCAAACAGAGCATGCTAGGCATTCTGTCACGTGGGTAAACACTATCTATTGGTGGTTGCAAAAAACACGACGGCAACCGGTTGTTTACCACCGCATAGCCCGCATAATTCGTTCACTTTTGACGTGGTATGTAAACAACTATTTAACCGGTTGTCGGGACTACAAGTTAGCGCGCATGATGGCGTTACAGAGGTTGTGGTCGAGTGTGAACAAATGACACTGATGGGTTGACGGGTTTAGAACAGAATCACGCACGGCTTTACGCGAGAATTAAGCAGTATATCACTGACTTACCAATGGTGTCAGAAATGATGCCCGATAGAAGCGTCTCAATCTTTGACCAGCGTTGCAGGATAATCATGTAGCAATCGGTTACTGTCCGCCGCTTTGTTCGCGGGTCACGTTCACATGCCTACGGGAATAAGAGATTAGCATATTATTGCCTTGTGCTCCCTATATTTCCTGCGCCTGTCGATGCCCTTGACCTTGAAAAACCGAATTCCCCGCTGTGTACGTTGTTTTAGTGGGCTATCATGCCAGTTTGGCGGCCACTTTGAACTTCAAAACCAGCAAAACAGTAACGCATGACAGAGACCTCATTTAGAAAAATGTCAGTCTTTTGAGCACACATGTCAGTCGGGTGACAAAATGGGCTGGAGTTCGAACTGTGTTTGGTCTAGGCGTAAGAACCCAAACCGTAGATGTGGTTCTCGAGATTATCCAACCGTGCCCGACCACACTGATGGATCTAACCTACCTCCAATTGTTGGTCACGCTCACCAGATGCGTGGTAAATGTCTGACGGGTCACGGACAAGATGTGGAGGCTGCAAGAACGCGTCTGCTGGAAGCAGCAAACTGTGTGGAGTTGAGGAAACAGCAGCTGACGAACAGGACAGTGGATCTACCGAGGTGGAGAATGTGGAAGTTGGAGTATAGACCAACGATCCTACACTTCGTCAGTTCGAGAACTAGCCTCAGACTGGAGTTGAAGGTGGACCCAACTTCGACGCGAAGTGTTCCATCGTCTGTTCCATCATCCCCTTCCCCGCACGATTCTGGAAGAGGATGAAAGCACCCAGAACCGCCAAGGCCGTACTTCGAGCTCGCTTCGAGCAGACGAACACGGTAGCTAAATCCTCTGTCAATGAGCTGAAATTCGGAGGTGGCAAAGTAGACGCAAATTGACAATTCATGCCATGGTGGCCATCTTGAAGGTCGTGAGCCACCACCTTGAACCGCACGAAAAATTAACTCGAATTTGGAAATTTTTGTGTCCGCCAGATGCACGTCCCATTTCGCCTGCCTCAATATTCCGGGAGACGGCATTATCTTCGAAGCAGAGTTCGATACATTAGGGGAGAGAGATGATGCTCACAAATTACATCGTCCTTTTTGTGGGCCACCCCCTCTCTCCGCCACTCCCCTCTGGGGTGGTGGTGGGGTGGAGCGGCCGGCTACCGATGGGCCCCACCCCACCCCACCCCGCCTGCCTCAGCCGCCGACCCTTCCCGGCAATCTTTATGGAGTTCTGAGCACCAAATTTCGACCAAGTTTGTCTTCCGCCCAAGCACGGGAAGAGGCTGGTTTAAATCACGCGATAGCCAATAAGTTTGGGCAATTTGCCTCGGAGCAGTTGTCGTCAAGGTCAATAACTAGCCAATCAAAAACTAGCCACGATTTGACCGGGTTCTGCAGCAGCTAGGTTTGTCTGTTAAAATCAGTTTGCATAAATAGGAGGAGTCTGCGACGCCCAATCAGCTGTTGACCTAGAGAAATTTGTCCCGGTTTCAGCACAAGACCGCAATCTGGCCAAGGGGTGAATACAGAAACCAACTTTCACACTCAACCTGGAACTTTAGCCCTCAGGTTCATTTCTCAAAGAACTACCGATAGATCCTTCCAATACCGACCAATAAGGCCCTAATCACGCTTAAACGGTCCAACCCACTAGGATTGCAGAATGCAACTCACATGTTTATTAGCAGGAGAGAGAATTCGTGAATACTTGCGAAATGCAACCAGCGTTGCTAGAGTTATGAGAATCACTTTCACTTTCAAAGTTTGGTCCACCTTCAGCTCGTCTGGAACTAGTTCTCTCACTGACGAAGTGTAGGATCGTTGGCCTCTACTCCAACTTCCACATTCTCCACCTCGGTAGATCCACTTACTTGTTTGGTTCAATCACAAACGACCGGTGGGAGTCACCCCAAGGTCGCCACCAACCTTCTGTCCAACACACGAATTGCCTCCATTTCCACCAGAAGAAACTCGGACAATGACTTGAGCAGAAGGCGAACAACCTGCAACAACCGCAGCGACCTACATGGACACACTCGCATCAATTCTGTCCGCGCGCGCACTCTCTCCCGCCCTCGCTCTCTTTGGCGGTACAATTGAGGCAGCGGCGGCGGTGGCAGCTCGAGCGTTAAAATGTATCGAAAACTCGCCCGGCCGGGGTGGCACACGACGTCTGGGAAACCGAGAGCACCTGGCCACTTCTGCTCAATCGTTGCCGCAAGAGAGGCAGCGTAGACGGTCGCGCGATGCTCTCCCCCCCCCCCACCCCCTTCAACTCTGCTTTAACGAACCCGCATCAATTTAACCGGTATGCAGCGAATCAAAGGCGGCATTACCGAGGTGAACGTGTGTAACCGAGTCCAGGCTTCATCGATATTCTCGGCTTGGAGCAGGAAATTACGAAAAAAGAAAGGAAATTTATGCACAAATAGTGAGAGGAAAAGAAGAATAACGTCAACACTTTTCGCCCGCCGGCTTTGAATGGGGTTTTAGTTCAAGCGAGCGGCTCGTTAAGTACGGCAGAGAGACAGTGGTGGTGCGTCGTCGCTGTCGCGTCTTCACCAGGTCCGCGATGCTCACATTCAACGGAGAAGACGCCTCCACCTCCGCGCAGACCTGCGACGCGCCCGGAGACGTCTCGTCCAGCTGGGTTTCTGGGATAACAAGGGGTTTGGCTTTGGCCACAGCAGACGGTCTCTTCGGTTTCGGCGTGGACGGAGAACCGACGCACGGAGCGCGTGTGGTTGGGGTCTTGGGAGTTGTCGGCTGAGATCTGGCGCGTCGGGATGGTGGAAGCGGCGACTTGATGTGGAGCTGCTGCGACAACCTACACCCGCCCGCTTTTGACAGCGGCGTCTTGGGCCTCGAACAGTGAGGCCTCTTGGCACGTGGCTGTGGAAGGGGCGTCCTGGGACTGGCCGGTTTAGACCGCGGACGCGTCGTCGCAACCGGAGACTGGGCCAGACTTGGGGACTTGGGGCGTTTGATAGGTGTTTTCGGAGTTAAGGAGGTCGTCGTCGTCTCAACTAGAGGGGCGGACCGCCTCGGACGAGAGAGTCCGGTCCGCGGCCGAGTTCGCGACGACGACGTGGAGGCGGCGGCGGCGGTGGCGGATGGAGGTGCGGAGATTGGCGTGGTGGTCTGGAGCTGGGCAGACGGCGAGAAGAGACCGGTTCCGCCTCTGAGCAGGGACGAAATCGAACGCCCACCCGACGTGGTGGCCGAACGACGCAAGGGGGTTGACTGGTGGCTTGCTGGCGGTGGTGGTGGTGGTGGCGGGGTTTCGACGCTGGTCTGCTGCTGGTGGACGCTGGGAGTCGCCAGGAGTGAGGGGGGTTTGCCGGAGAAGAACTGTTCAAAGTGCGACTCCATGCACGTCTGCATGAAAACGCGGAACTGTGGCGTCTAGAGTGAAGAATGCAAACAGTCATGCATCTATAACACTCTTGCTTGTGGTCCGCCACTTTCTCCAGAACCAGATTTGACCTTGAACTGACCAATAGGGTGGTATTTGGGTCCGGAATAACGAAAAATCACAAATATTTGTCGGTTTTGGTGGCAAAAAACCCAAGACAAAGCCAGTCAAGGCTGCGCAATTGTACCCCAAGAAATAACAATAATAATAGTAATCTGACATGAGTGGGACCGGTGGTGGTGGTGGTTTGGGTGTGGCTTGATTTACACCGCTTATTCGATACAATCAATAGCGTAGTTGGGACGGTCAAACCTTGTCCCACAAGTGGGACACGCAGCCAGCCGGTCGGAGTATTCCTACGGCCTCAAAAGTGTGAAACAGCAAGGACAGATGAACGCTGAAATTTTTTTTGCGCGTCTGGCTGCCCAATAGACGTCGAGCAACCTGAACTGCGAATAGCACAACCACAAAAATGGACCACTCAGAGCTCTGCAAGATCATCAATAAGTGGTTAATCCAAAGACACTAAGAACAGACCTCTTGCCAGGGGGTTTGGAAGCGTCTTGTCGTTGGATCACGTGGCATGCCCTCGAAGGTGACGTAGCTCGCGGCGGAGTACGTCAGAGAGACGATGTTCACCTCGGAACTACCCTCAGGCGGGAAGTCGCGGTCCAGCTGGAACCTTCCACACCCGCCGCGCAGCTGTACGTCGGTGAAGCGGACCCTGTTGCCCTCGGCCAACACGGAACTCAGACAGTAACGCTGGAAAGAGGGTGAAAAAACAGCGCAACAATTGGACGGTTTGTGAGTGTCAGCGAGGAACTGGAGAGAGAAAGCGCAACTACCTCGAGACCACCCCAGATTCGCAGAACTCCCAGCGTGGTGAAGTCTTCGGCACCGTCGCTGCCTCGTAAACTGGCCAGGTAGACGACACCGAGGTCTGATTTGGAGTCGGTGGTTGACGAGGACGTCGTCTTCGAACCGACAACGAGAGCCGTGAAGTCGACCGCCTTGGGACGATCTTGGAAGGAAATCAGGACAAGGTAAGCTGGTACAGGGAGGCCTCACGGCAAAAATCGATTAACGGGGGTGCGTACCAGACGGCCCGACAGCGAGCTCCTTGAGGCGACCAATTGAGAGGAAGACACGGGGCTGGTAGACCCTCTTGATGACCTCCTGAACCCGCATCGAGCCAGTTGGCCGGCCACGTTGGTAAAGTTTAATGACTTCCGTGGGTTTTAGCGGTCGAAGTGAGGTGCTTCGACCACAGGAAAGACACAAAAGCTGTCCACCGCCAGTGCCACGAGCCATGGCATATGCGAACGGATCGTTCGCGCGTGTGCACGACACCTTCGATACAAACAAGACTACTTTATCAAATAAGTAGTGTTTATTTTAGAAAGGCGACAAGTGTTGCAGATACCCACCTGTAGTCGAGTGAGTTGGACGACACAGCCCTCCTGCAAGGCGTCCTGCATCTGATCAGTTGGATTCCAAATCGTGAGCAGCATTTCTGTCAACACACAAGAAGAAGAACGACGTAGAAAAAGTGCACAAAGGTTTAAAATCGGGTGGAAGAGAGAGACCGAGAGAGACTACCTTGTTTCCTGTCAACGTCCCTCGAGTGAATCCCGGCCACGTGGAGACGCATCAACGGTGTGACGTCGCGCTTGGAGACGGCCTGCACCACCATGTCCTGCAGCGCAGTCTCCTTGTAGCGGAGCATGGCGTCGCGTTGGAGAGCGGAGAGACCGCTCTCAGCGAGATCGGGGTCGGGCGAGGTGGTGACGGCGTTCCACAGGGCCTCGCCGTCCACACCGAGCGAGGCAAGAAACGCCGTGGTAGGCTGGCTGCGGCGAAGGCGTTTGCCTGGTTAGGAAGAAGAAAAAGGAGCCACATTGACTGCCACGTGGATGGTGGTGGTGGTGGGTGGGGGGGGGCGGACACTTACCCTGAGGCGAGGTGAAATCACTCACGGCCCGATCGAAGGCCACTTGGCAGTTGTTGGCGTGGAGTCGTTCGGCTGCGCGCTCCGACCGCGGGTCGCGGAAGACGCGGGTTTGGCGGCTGCCGCCGTCAGGAGAACAGGTCTCCATGTACTGCAGTTGGAATCGCCGCTAAACAAGATTTGTTCAAGTTTTGCCTCAAAAAGTAATCCTACTGATTGCATATTAGTAGCGTGACTAATTTCTATGAGAAGGTGAGGACCGCCACATACACACACAGACGAAAACGCACCTGAATGAGGACACACACGCACGATATGAAACCGCCGTCAGTCGACAGGGAGGAGAGAGGAAGAGGAGGAAGGTGCGCCATTGGCGGGTGGCTGGCATAGCCCAGTCTGGCGTTGGGAGGAGCCGGTCGTGTGGAATTACCGTGGAGACGAAGGGCCAATCCACTTGACGATTCACCGAAGAGGTGGGCATCAGCGTCCGACGTGGTCGCAGCGGCGACGTCTCCGCCGAAGCCAGACGGTGCCTGAACCAGCTCGGCGCCGGCTGTCACCAACTTCGTTCCAACTCTGATTCTGCCGCTTTGAATCAGACCTGTGAGAAGGCGATCAGGAACCCAGTCCACGTGATACCAGCCGTCTGTTAAACGACCCTGTAAATGTGTGGGTCACAGTTGTAAAATCGACCACTTTCTCTACCGAAATTCACCCTACTGACTAAATAATAGTAGTGGGACTATTTGATAGTCAATTCTACGCGTCTTCTGTTCGCCGATTGGTCGAGAGCACGATGGTCATGGTCGACACGACTGTTTTGTCAGCATTCTAAACTGATCGCAGTCGAGTTCGCTTGAAATGCAGTGCAAAGACAATTCCACAACTCACTCGATATTGTTGACTCGGTAGGGCCTCCAAATGGCTGACGCATAGTACAATTCGCTTTGCCGGGGTGTCATCACGTTCAAGGATTTTGCGAATGGCGGGCCTTTAAAACAAGCAACCAACCAATGAAACGCATAAAAGAAGTCCAATCAGAATCACCCGCCAGGGGCTAACTCAAGGTCAGGTTTGGTAGCCGTGGAAAATCAGCTGTGATTAGTTGTGTGCATTATGGTATCAGCTCGATTGGTTAAATTGGTCCTACATCACGAAAGGACAGTTTTTACGTTGTGATGAAGGATTATACTGAAACTAATGCACATTTAGATTTAAAAATGTTTAAACTGAAACTGTCGCCAATCAGAATCCTCCTCCTTGAGGAGCACCAATCAAAGTCGCACCTTTGAAGGCCACTTACCGCTCTGCAGCCTCCAACTCCCGGTCATAGCGGTACTTTAATTCGAGCAGCAAAACATGCAAGAGAATAGCCCCGTCACTTCGGTGAACGGAGGCATTAGGCAGGGCGATACGGGGGAACACGTTTTGCAGGATGTCTTCGTAGTGCAGCAAAGTCACACTGCTCAGACGCCAGGCGAGTTGCGCGTAATGGTGGATTATCCACTGGCGCGAGGCCAGACCACGTGTCACCCCGGGGGAGCACACGAAGGCTCTACAATTTCAAACACAACAACATTAGGACAAACTGCGCCGTAGTATGCGCTACCGCCCCAGACATAAAATGCACATTTACCGAGCGATTTCAGCGCAACCTGCATAGCCCTGGGAGTCGGGAATGACATCGACATCATCACCGAGTAGGTAGCTGACACTCACGCTCTCCGAGTCCAACTTGAAGCGTAAACCGACCGCTGATTTGAGCGAAAGCACAGTGGCGTCACCCAGACTCAGAAAATCGCCGGCAAATTTTAAATCCGTGCGACTCGGCGGGTGGCCGCAGTAGGTGAGGCTGTCTGGTTTAGGACGAACTCCACTAGCGCGACGAAGACGCCATAAAAGTCCCGGCATCCTGGGCTGTCGATCGACCTTGCGCGGTTTGCCGTCGGGAAGGAGTCGGTGGGGTGTGGGCTGGGGGCTCGAAGACGTCTGGCACGAGGTGCTGGCGGTGGACTTGAAGCAGGCCTCAGCTTTGCGTTCCTGCTCTGCACGCATCGCAACACGTTCGCCTTCAAGTCCCTGTGACCGGGGGTAGGCTAGGTCGGCGCAATTCGCGATCTGGGAGGGAATCTCGAAAGAGTCGTCAAAGTTCAGCGTCGGCGAGGCCTCACTCAGGTCATACACGATCGGCGATCCGAACTCTGGCGAGTGCTCCACTCGGCACACCTGTGGCTCCAGTTTTGCGACTTTTAACGGCATCTCAGGCTCAGACTCGCACTCGGTAATTAGGCGTTTGGCGCGCTTCAACGCTTCATCAGACACCGGGTTGAGAGGTTTCCCTGCGCCCGAGGTGAACATGCTCGGTGGCCCGGTGGTGATTGGTGCTGGCGTCAGTTGATCATTCAAACCCGCACAAGCCTCACTGTTGCCAGATTCGGGTTCTTTAAAACACTCCTCAACCGGACGTCTGGCGCGTTCGACAGACTCGGTGGAACCTGGTGCTAATGGCTTGCCGTGGCCAGACACAAAACCAAGTCGGATTGCACTATTGCCTGATGTAGAACCACAGCGATCACCCGTAGAAGGCGTTACTAACAGTTTGTCAGGACAAGACTTCGAGCTATCAGGAGCTGAATCCTTCTTTTCAATAAAATCTAGGGTCAAGGCCGGTCTAGATGTAGATATGTCACTAAAATCATTGGTAGGTGCTCCAGGATTCGCTGACAAGCTTGAAGCCTCGATGGTGGAGTCGCATCCACCAGATTTGGGGCTATTCGTCAAGCGATTTGACGATTCTGCGTGAGTTTCGCTTTCATCCAGCTGTAAGTCTCTAGTTACCGCGTCAACGAGACGTTTCGCCCTTTGAATCGACTCAACAGAAACCAAATCTAGTGGCTTTCCTCCACCGGTGGTAAATCCACTTTTAAATTTGCACATTCTATTTACTACGTCTTGGCTATCGGTTGAGTTGATTTCACCTGTATACTCTTCAATCAGCTGTTTTATGGACCTCGTTGAATTGGATTGAGATTTAAGACACGTTGTATTCTGATGAAAAAGAACACTGTCCAACTTATGGGAATTTTCCTCATTTCCATTTGGTGTCTCATCAACATGAGGCTCTTTTGGCTGATCATCAATCTTGTGCATAGTCTCCGTAATCGCCTCGGAAGAAGCGGAGAACGGAGGTTTACCTTTCATCGGAAAAGCGCCTTCACCTACAGTTACCTGTGGCTGTAGTGTACTTTGTGAAAAGGGTTGCAGTATTTTAGAAGAGGCGTTAAAATCTAGAGTGTCACTCATGCAGTCCTCAAAGAGCTGTTTAACCCGAGATAACGCTTCGGTGGATGGCGTTTCCAAAGCCACACCAGAAGCAGTTTTAAACCCACAAAAGCCGCCTTGAGGTGGACCTGAATCCTTAGTAATTTGCGAGTTTGATATCATTTGTTGGGGTGCATTGCTCGAGGAATCGGCAACAGACGAAGCTCCTTGAGAATCATCAAGAATAGCTCGACTAACATCACTAGAATCCGAAACCATTGAATCCCTGCCTAAACAAATGATATTTTATAAAAACAATACCCTTGCTTGGACCTTCACAAGACGAGGCGATTTCCAACATCTGTGTAAGATTAACACAACCGAAATTGTCATTAAATTCCTGGGAACAGGACATTGGGGCATCCCCTGTTAAAGTGGTGACATTACAGGGCTTCTTTTTAATTTCATCTGGCTCAGGATAAATGAAGGCCATTGAGAAACGAAGACGCCGTGTCTTTACTTGTGCATTCGAAGAGCTCGGAAGAATCCGTGGCTGGTCAGAACATGACGTTGACGAACCAGTTCGTTCAGGAACGCCCGAATCTGGACAGTAATTGAGGTTGTCTTTGTCAAGTTCATTTGGTGAACAACCTATCCACAGAAGATGATAACACATGAATATCCACATTACGCTCTGAAAATATTGGTCTGGATAAGTGTTCTGAACACTTGGCAATCAATTCAGCTGGAGAGTTATCAAGATTCCCATCCCCATCGAAGTTAGGCGACACGTTGGGAGAATGTTGGCCTGTTGGCGAAGCGCCATTAAAAACATCCATAATGAGATTTACACAATCCCAGCCAATGACTACCCGAGGACGGGAAAAGCGAGCACTTTGTGTTGCCCGCCAGTATCATTATTTTGCAAAGATGATTTAGTTAACAAAAGTTGATTTGAAAGCACACACCCTACATTTTGCAAAAGTTAGCCTTATTAACAAAAAATTTCAACTAGTAACGGTGTCTTTCGCAGGCATTAAGATTGCAAAGCTCCTTCAATTAAAGGCATACCAGAGACTGATATAAGATGAATAATTGTAGATTAATTTTAAGGTCAGTGCCTTCCCAGATTATTCTATTCGGATAAAGATCTGCTGAAAGTTCTTAAATTTTTTGTCATATTACAGGAGGCTAGCTGAAAATGGAATATACCACATCCGCGTTGTGATAAGTTATAATTTCTCCCAGAATATGACAGTCTATTTTGATTTTTTTATTACTATCTGTCAAAACTAAATAACTGTACCATTAATCACTTTTGTATTAACTGACACGGAGGTAGCAAAAATTGCGGAACCTACCAATTAATTATTGAACAGAATATGACAATTAGGTTAATAATTAATTTTTTTAATTCTTAGTTTAAGTTTCATTCGCTTATTATTTTGTAAAATGCTAAGATAAAAGCACCGTTGAAATATGTGTGACCAATTTGATAAGTTTTGTCTTGACATGTAACAATGGTGAAGAATTCGGATTGATTGAAGCACTCTTGTCACGTTGTTTTGGTCAGATGCTGTCTTTGTTTGGCTGTAAAGCTGCGATTACTAGTGCGGGTTCTGAACACACGCAAGTAACGCAGTTTAAAATTCTCGCTTACTCTACACAGGCACTCGGTGAAGGCAATAAAGACTAAAGGTTCTGAAAATTGAACTGTTTATATATTACCTTGACGGCGCTGCCTGTAAATAAAGGCGCATAAATTCCTATTAACACATGAGTTTCCCTCAATGTGTTCAACGATTAATTAGGACAGCGAAAATACACGTTTAGCGATTGCAAATGGGTGATTTACCAGGACGTCGGATCATGCTTCGACAGAAATGATTAGACATATTTGACGCTAACCATCGTTGGCATTTTACTATCAATCCGAATGTCTAAAAAAGATTTTGGCTGAAATACTTTTATCATTCTAACTTACTGTGACCAACCCAATTATTGGCAAAAGGCCTAAGAGTGACAAATCAATTGCTGTGAGCAATTCTGGTGTGTTTTCTCATGCATTTCTTGCTCTCAAGATGATTGCTTGACTTTTGCCATTCAAGCATTTTTTTGTAATTCATACTCACGCCGAAGAAAATCTGAACTGTCAATGCCAATTTATTAAGGTACAAACCGCCCCCTACTTTACTTGCTTATTTTGTTGTTACTTTAATGGCCAGAGTTTACGGCAATTCATTATGCAAAAAGGTTCAGATTTTTGAAGCATTAGGAGAAAAGTGACAGAATTATTCCTCATCAATGCCACCACCAGACGTTGTACTGTAATTTCATTGGAGAAAGAGATCTAACTCGTCCAATCACATGCTTCTAGCTTACATTTATTATTATTATTATTATGCGCTGATCCGAAGAGCTCTTTTTTAACTTTTAAATGGCGAAATTGACTCGCAAGATGGTTTATTTTATTCCGTTCTGTCAAAACACGAGTAATTCACGCATAGAGAGATTGCTAATTTATCGTGTATAATTAAAGTCGTAATTTTGAGGTCAACTAGTGTGTCGTTTAACTCTTCTGGAAACAAGAGTACTATTAACTAAACCACTTTTGCTCCTGTGACATAGGATGACGAAAATATGACCTTTCATTGTCAGATTAAAACAAAACTTTTTTGGTAACTGTATGTTACAAAAACTATCAGTACAGTCAGAATTGTATTATTTTGTCATTTTTCAGAATCTAGTACGAACTCCTGCAATCAGCCAAAAGAGAAACTCTGATGTAAAAAACGGATTCGCTCAGTTAGGGAGCAAATTTCAAAATGGCGCCAGATTGACATGTCAACACGGTCTTAGTCACTTGTCCCTTTTTAGCTGGTCTCCTATTGTGATATAAGGGAGATGCATTCAGAGAATCTTGTCTGACTAAATTCGTCCCTTCCACCAGTCTGTAAGACCTTCTCCATTATAAATTCAAAATTTAACCAATGGGTTTTGACATGTTAAAGAATACTCTGATTGGCTACTGACTACACGCTTTGTCAAAGGCAGCTAGCAATGAATTATGTTCATTTGACTGTAGCAAGAAAACCTGAGATGGAAACGGTAATAACATCTATTCTGTTTTATCTGCAACATTAGGTTGAATATTTTTAAGCTTCTTACTACTTACAGTATGAGTAGTGAAGTACTGTTATAATAAAGTGCTTTACTTCTCACTTGATCTACAGCAACTCCGCAAAGATTGTTTGTGCGAATGGGTGTGCATTTTCTTGCAGGTTGACACGCGAAGTTGCACTTAGAAACCACGGTGATTCCGCTGCAATTAGCTCCATTCAGGAACACCGCATTTTGTCGCACTTAGAATGCCACCGTTGTCGCAACTAATGCGCATTTGCGGTGCAGAACACCAAGTCGAGCTAACTAATATGTGCTTGTATTAAGAATAACAACTAAGCGAGTTCTTCGCCAGCTGCAGTTTTTCACATTATTTTAATATTCTCCTGCGAAAGTCACTAAAATAGCACCAGGTACAATTGCGTTTTCTCTACAGAAATTCATTTAGACCAGTAGAATCACGGCTCTAAGCATTAGTTATGGATGCGCACCAGAATAATACGGGTGGTTATTTACGATGTGACCTTCGTCCAACGTGAACAGGATCGGAGCACTGCTCACTACGTGAGTGAAATTAAAATTGCCACCAATGGACCGAGCCAGTTCAGTAAAACAACGCCACAGGGGAGAGCAGACTCCATCAATTAAACCGGAGTTACTAAGGCGAGTCGAATATGCAGCTTTAATCAAGACATGTGACAACCTGATTACGGGATGGTGTGCATCCTACTTAATACCTCGCAGTATATTTATTGGGCGCAAACCATTGCGCCTGGAAACGAGACAATCTATCAGTCAAATCTTAATTGTCTCCGCTCCAAGTGTACCCTGGCGGTTGTGATTACTGTCGATCACATGACTGCCTTTTGTTCCGTTTGCAGTAACCCCCTTGGTGTCAACACGCATCCACCGCTGGTAGATTTCTCAGCTAACCCAATTAGATTTATTTCGTACTTTTGGTCCTAGTGCATGGAAACTGTCGTCATAGGAACGACCTGTCAAAGGCGCAAAACACTTGCAGACACTTGGTAGCAGACGCAGGGGGGTCAAATTTTCGATCAAACAAAACTTACACTCTGATATTTTGGATACTTTAACGAAGACACTCTACGTAATTGCAAAAACATAGAAGACACCTGCGCGATAAGAAACTGAGGCGCATAGCCAGTGTCCCAATATCCGCCAATCACCAGCAAAGACTATCCAATAGTTGATACCTAGCCTGCCAAAACTAGCCTTGTTGTTCACGGTGTGGTGTTTAAAAGCCTATCACTCCAGCCGTATTCGGCGGTGTTGAGGGACAACGAGTAGCGCCGCATCTTGTTAAGCATTTCAACCGACTGCTCCATAACCCGTTCAATTTGTCATGCCTGGGCAGGCAAAATGTGTTCATGCACGTTCAGCACTTGGGGGGGGGGACCAATCAAATTACAGTTATTATCCATACACGCACACTCGCGGAAGAATCATGGGCGTCATTCGTTGAAGGTGCCAATTGTGATATGTTAAAAAAAAAGAGTTACTGGGTTTAAAAATATGCTTTCAAGGCGATCATACGCTTAGCATTGAATGCGAGCTGGTTTCTGTTGGGGACGTCAGATCCACCCTGAACTTCATATTTTCCGATCAGGTGACGAATAGGTTCTTTTTTTGCTTATGCACACTACATTTTTGTATTCATATCGGGCGCCCGGCACTTGATTGGTGCGTCACCAATTGAATGGTCAATCCACACCATTTGCTATCAAGATAGCCTCAGGCACATATTACTGGACGAATCCACGTGTGGAAATCGAATTTAATTATTTAATCCGATCGTTGAGCGATTGTGAGTGACTAACGTGATATGGACCCAAAAACGGTGTGACGGTGAATGAGAGAATATTTGGGGTTAGTGTGAAATAACGGTGTGAGGCGATATTCTCAATTGTGCGTAAACTCAATGTCTGCGCCAAATGACGATGATTAGTTTTGAAATAGACTAAACTGATAACTCCTTATAAAATATACAGACATCGGAAATCCTTGTGGTAATGGAAAGATATGTTAGACATGTGACAGGTACGTGATGAGAATTCAACAACACGGAACTGTTTGAGTTGAAAGCGATCCCCTGAAATCCTTCTGTCGGGTTCCGCCACGTGTTGAACCACTATCACGCGAAGGGGGTAATGCAGTGTCGCCTGCAACTAACACATCCACCTCTCGTGTCAGTCTCACTTGAAGCTAGCGCCGTTTCAAGGTGGTTAACTACATCGCGTTTCAACCTTTGGCACATCACAACAATAGAGCACTGATCCACGTTAACCGCTTTATCCGTTTTGACTGCTCAACCATGGCAACCGATAGAGCTTCAACTGATACCAAGAAGCCAAGTAGGTAGCTGTGGTCAACGCGCCAAGTTCGCTAAGAACCCAAGCGCCCATATTACTTGTCTCCTCTAGCACAAGCTAATGACCGGTGTGTTCAACCCCTGCACGAGCTCTTCATTGTCATCTACTGAGCGTATCGCCAAAACAAGAATTCGTACACGTTAGCATCTGCGGGTGTGTACAGGACAACGCAAATCCCATACCACTATGACGTGAATTCCTACCTCAAGTAGCCCTCCAAATACTGTTGAATGCTAAAGCAGTGCATTGCGAAGAAGCGACGTCACGACCTCAGCTGAGACATTGTCCTGGAAAGCACACCGGAAGGTCTACTTAAAAATGATGTCTGGAAAGTTGATCGGAACACCGGGAAACGCCACGCCATTCGGCATGACTAGATATAGAGGGTGTGGTACCGAAGTATATACTGTGGGGACCCAGTGTGGACTCACGAAACCACGGATCCGTGGATCGTGCCGGCGCACCAATGTTGCACAACCGAGATGCGGCGATGACGACGCCCCCGACAAATTGCCGACTTAATTAGGCCAGGTACGTCCATTTACCTCTGGATCACCAGGAAGATTATGCTCATCGGACATGAAGAAAACCTAACTAAACAGCAGGGTTGAAGTTCTGATGCGAAATCGCGAACTTCAACGACATTTACTGAGGGCACATGTTGGGACACACACGGATGACGTCTTGAAATGAGACGAAGACCACTACCGTGCAACAGCACCCACATGTTAGATGTGTGCGCAGACAGAGGCGGACCCGTGAGCAATAAAGTGACTTCCACGCACATACACACGCGTCAACTGCGATGCAATCCACCAGTAGGTCAACCCAGTAAATCCGAACAGCAGCGCACTTTGGTACATTAAAGGAGGGGGCGGGGGCAACATTCGACCATGTTAAGTAGGCTAGACCACGGGTGTCCGAAAATCAGGCGCACATCCGGTTGGGTGTGTGTGTGTGTGTGTGGATTAAAGGAGTCAGTGTGGAGGCACAGAGCTGTACACTGCACATTAGAGGTTTGAGGTGGGGAGGAGGACGCTTAGCTATACATTCGACACGGGGGTCTGTCGGGGTGGGTCTAGGCCCTCGCCGCGGCAATCGCCGCCGGATTCTGCCCGCTGTTGACGTCCTTTTTCCGTCTGTTGCGTGACGCCTTCTTGCCCGTGGCCACGTGGCCGTTCACCATGGGTGCGGCCTTCTCGGGCTTCGCAGTGCCATCGTTGTGCAACGACACCGACTCCAACTTCTCGGTGACGGCGTTGACGTCGCCGGTGTTGGGCACTGGAGTGCCACCACCGCCGGTCGGCCTGGTGTCAGCGAGTTCGGCGATGACAGCTTTACGATGCTCATCCAAGTCAGCGTCGGAGAAGAACACGGCAGCAAGGGGATACAGGGCGGCACATTCGGCGCGGTGTTTGTCGATCAGTTCTGGTGTCACCGGTGCTAGTTTGAGGCTAGAATAGGTCCTGAGAAGCTTCAAGGCTTCCAACAGTATCTGGAATCAAAAAAGAGGGGGAATAAACGCGAGGGTAAAGTACTCACTGATGTCGAAATACATCGATGCACAGTACCTGCCAAGAAACTTCACCAAAGTCACGACAGGATGGTGAAGGTAGTTTCTTGAGATGCTCAAGCGACGACTTGGGGTCGATTACAGCTTTGGTCAGAGTACCTGGTGGAGAAAGCGGGGAGATAAGGTATTCAATGAAACCAGATGGTAGAGAGCACAATCCTTGCAAACGTCACATTTACCTCTAAACACGTGCAAGAAAGACTTGGAGTTGCGTTTGATGAAATCTTCGTTGTATTCGAGAGCACTGGGCAGATCGGCGTCGACGCCGAAGGCGGCTCGCGCCTCTTCCATGAGGATGTCCTGCACGAGGTTGCCAGTCTCGCGTTTTAACTGGGCCATCTGACTGAGGAATCGGCAGACGCACTCATTGAACCAGGGGTGATCCCGTGCCCCCGGCATCGCCAACCCCCGACGGATCGAACGAGTCATTAGCAGGTACTTGCCTGAAAATGGGGAACAATCAGACCACGTCGAGTGGTGCGAGAACAGGTGTCCAAATCGTGGACTTGATTATTTACGAGAATCGTCTCCACGGCGACGTGATGTCAACGGGGTGAGGATCACGGATGATACGGCAGTCGACTAGAGTGCCGACAGCCAGTGGGAGAAAAAAAACATAGTTTAACCGTTCTGACAACCCCAATTTCGCACGCGACGTGGTTGCTGCCTGAAGGAACCGCGATTGAGCGCGTTGGCGAACAAATTAACCCCGCGGGGTAACCCATGATTACCCGGTAATGACCGACATCGTCTCCCCGACGGCAAAATAAGAAAACGACAATTAAAGGGACGATTGACTTGCGAGTGGCGGTGGTGGTGGAATGAGGTATCTGGGGGCTAATTAGCATTGACAGAGAAGAGTTGGATGGATGTTTTGCGTACCTTTGCGTTCGTAGATCTCATAGGCGAGACAATGGGTCTCGATTCGACTAGAGGAGAGGTCGATTAGGGGTTGTAGGAAGCGTGCAGCCTCCGTCAGAGCATCCGCGGGCTGAAAAGTAGAAATAAGAAAGCCAAAATGTGCAGGGATGAAGTGCAAACGAAACGAAACAACCCATCAAGGGGGAGGACTCTTACTCGGGCCAATTTGCGCGGAACCAATTCCTCCACCTCGGGCGGTCGATTTTCCGGGTCCTCCACCTTCTCCCGATTACGATGCTGTTGATTTTGCTGTTGCTCCCTCTTCTTGTCCTCTTCTCGATTGGCCTCGGCACGGCGCTCGGCTCGTCGCTGCTTATTACGCAACTTCTTCAACTCCGACGACGAGAGATCGGCTGAAAGTAGAAGCGGAAAATTCCTAGTAGACATCGCAACACGCCCAACCCACGCTTGAGCCGATCAGTTTGGGCACAGCTTGCGGCTCACTGAACGGTTATGTCTTCATCACCTGTCAACATTTGGATAGCACCTTTCTTTGGTGCAAAACACTACGAGGTAGCAGCATTAGTTGTAAACAGGCGAAAAGTCAATCGCGTGACTAAAGAAATTGTGTGGGCCTAGAGTGCAGGGTTGTTCGCTTACCGTTTGGTTGATTATTTTCATCCGGCTCGTCACCCAGCGGATTCGCGTGCAGGTACAAGTAAATCTATAAGAGGCAAGTTGAAAGACCTCGTAGTGATGGAAGAATGTGTCCGGCACTCATCAATCTTAGATTGACTTCGAATAGAGGGTAATCTCTTGAAATATGAAATATGCCATCTGATAGTTCCATAAGACATTGTGGCACAGCGCACGTGCCTCAGAACTTTTGAAAACACGAAACCAATTATACTAAATCTTTGGCAGTGGATTGCTATTGTGATTAAATAAACGCAACTAAAGTCCACCGACCTTACTAATGTTAAATAAAGAGAAATGGCGTAAATATCTAGGGGCTAGAGAAAGCGGCGCATGTGAAATATGTGCATTCAAAGTGCAAACCAGCAATAACCACCAGGTGGTAAGAAAAATGTTTTGGTGGTTACTAACTTCGATCGCCAGAGAGGCCGCGTCAAAATACGCAGGATGATCACGAAGACGATCCTCCAGCCGAATGGTTTCAACATACGACCTCAAGGTACCCTTGCGCAGACAGTACGAGTGGAAGTCGAGCTGGTCTTCAAGAATGGTGGAGTAAGCCTATCGGTGAAGTGTGATAACAACATTATTAATAATGAGGGACACATGAGGACAAATATGTCAATGCTAACTCACCCTATCGATTTCGTGGCACAGTTTCAACGCCTCGCCGTACTTTTGCATAGCCCAGTAAGAACGCGCGTTTTCGATGAGGAACCACATGCATTGCATTTCGGTGAGATATTGGGTGGCCGTGGAGCTACCACGGGTGAACTTTGACGCCATCTGGTCGGCGTCTTCGATTCGGTGCGCCTGAATCATAAACTTTGTACATTGAGCATTAAGGAAGCGATCCGCCGTGTCAAGGGACTGCGCCTCATCCATCCAACGACAGGCAGTTATAACATCACCGGCGTCGCGATAGATCTCTGCCTTCAGCACGTACAAGTCCACAATTGTGGGATTTCGCTTGAGCTCCTCTGAGACCACATCTAAAGCTTTCTGATACAATCGGGTTTACACAAGGTTTAAATGTATACCTGAGTCTGCCTCATGTAGTTATAATGCTGAGCTAGAAGGTAGTTGAGCCAAAGTGACGTGGAAGGCGGCTCGAAAAGTTCATCATCGGAGTTTGTGGCCTCCAATTTCCCATAAGCTACTGGACCAAGCATTGCGTGATCGTCCAAGTTTTTACGGTACGTTAAGAACAGATTTTCAAGAATACTTCGCTTTTCCTCTGAGTTGTAGAAACGCTTTACTTGAACAAAGAGTGTGGGAACGCCTTTGCGAAGATTATTGCGCAGAAACACATCGACATGAAAGATAAACTCATCACCTGAAATACAACAAATGAGTACAATAAGAACATTACCGCTCAAGGTTTCCAAGAAAAGCAGCTTTGGTAGACGGGCTGAGGGAAATTGCTTCACACACTTATCAAGTAACTGACGCTTTACTGAGGGCTCCATTTCACACTTCGACCGAGCTTCGTAAATTTGGTAAAGCAGTTCATAATAAGGTTTGCAGTCCGGATTGCGCTCAAAAAGCAGCCACACGTCCTTCTCGGCATCGTCGAACCGCTCCAATTTGAGAAGAAGATCAGCTAAGCAAATTGTCGACGACTACATACTAGCCTACCATGAATTTCCAAATAAGAAACCTTGTCAACAATTTCCTTGGCATGAGATTCCATGAAATTAAGGGCCTCCTCATACCTCCCGCTTTCATTTAAGATAGTAACATAATAAATAAGAAGTTCACTGTGTTCATAATTGTATGGTTCAACCGATGTCTGCACTTTAAGAAACTCGTAAATAATCGTAGCCGCGGCGTCATAATTGCCGCGTAAGTGCTGGACCACAGCGTAACCGACCCACGAAGCTTTCTGATTCGGACGCTGAGTTAGCAGCTTGTTGCGTGTTTCTAAGCAGCCATCGATATCACGCGTATGAATCTGGAGAACAGAGAGGTCGCGAAGCACTTGAAGGTTATTTTTGTCCAGCTTAAGAGCTTGGATGTAGCATCGGATGGCCTCATCGTATTTTCGATCCGATTTCATAATGAGACCATAAATGTGCCAACCTAGTAAATAAAAAAGGAGACGTCCACATAACTTACAAACAAAGCTCTGGATATTTGATCTTAGACCACGCTTCACGAAATCACGAGCTTCCTCTTTCTTCCCCAAACAGTTAAGTAAAATCCCTTTCATTGAAATAGTTTCTTATCCACGTTAGCTTCATGAAAAATTAATATTTACCCCCATGTTCGGAGAATTTAGGATTTGACAATATTTGGTTAGCAAATTTAAGACCAGTTTTATATTGCTTTTGATCATAATATTTCTAAAAACAAAAATAAATATTTAGCCCCAAAATTATGTTTCAGAAGGTACCACAATCCTCTTAAAGAGGGACAGTTCCTTGGGTGGAAGAGGGGCAGCACCAGACAACTTTTCCATCTCGCAAGCGTATATTTAGGTAGGCGGATTGTCCATTGACTCATTCAAACAATCGGTAAAAGACAGCACAAATTTTGCTGCAATTTTTTTCAATAAAGAGATGATTCAGTAAGGCTAAACATTAGAAAACTATTTAACTTTGAGCAGTAAGAGAAAACAATTAGATTAGTTAAGCGCCTAAAATTCAGTCGATGGATATATGTTCCCAATTCATTTTGTCAATGTTTTTAAAATAATAAACGTATAGACTGATAAAAGCAAGACCAGGTTACATATTTATCACGATATGGAAAACATGGTAGGCAGCACTAACAAGATTTACGGTTTTGGTTTTCAGCCTGTCATGGAATGCTAAGCCAGGTATTTAGTACAATTAATTGACGTCAATACAGGAAGAAACGGCATTAAAACTAGACGTAGGCAGTTATTGTGTAGGCCTCCCAAATCCACGAAATGACTGGAGCATGTGATCGTAAAGCACCCATTGAAATACCAAGAAGTGGACCTCGGCATTTCAAAAAAAAGTGTTGTCATTTTACTTTAATGTCGAGCTAACAGCTGCGTTGTAACCTATCAGCGACATGTGGACACCGTAATTTCTTTTTTTTTAAGAAATCAGCATTAAGCCATTTTATGTGCATTCAACATTGCCCTTGTACTTATTTACACCCTACATGCAATTTCCATGTTCATTTATATGCACCAATTTCTTTATTTGTATTATTTTACAATCTTCACAACAGAATAATATTAAAAATATTAATGCATAAATTAACTAGGAGTGAATTTTTTTCTATAACATCAAACGTCCATTCTAATATCAGGCGTGAAAATTGACCTTCATAGAATTTTTTGAATTGGTTAGTTTTGTGTGGGATTGTTTTTATAAAAGACAGATTTTTATGTTATTATTACTTAATTTAACCATTTACTGTGTGCTAATTATGGATTAAAATGTGATAAATATGGCCTTCCCTTGTGGTCCCTAAATCTGTCCAAATGTATCCAAGCAAAAAGGATTATTAAGGTTTTCATAATAATGGAGCTATCCTTTAACAAAGAGAAGCTTTAGCCGTAAAATACCTAACGATTACACAAATAAATTTGTCGAAAAAAACTTGTCACCACAGCTTATTAATCGACGAGCTAATTGTGATGCAAATCCAACTGAATTATGCCACTTAGAGAAATCCGAAATATCACAAAATCGATAATTTTTAGTAGACCGACAAGTATATGGCGATTTGGAACCGGATTTTGTGGTCGAATGGCAATAGAGGTGGTCCTGCTACTGTACGCCAAAATTTGATCCCTATTAACCCTTTTTGATTTTAACCAATAGACAGTGAGGAGGGGTATCTATGACTCATCCCCATTATCAAAACACTTCTATCTCTGTGTTAGCACCTTTATGACTCATACTGTTTCCCCATTGGTCACGTCTGCCCTCTTCCCCTCTGCGAAATTTCGAAACTACTTTCAACCTCTATAAAGGTAAACAGAACGAGTGGCGTTTAGATAATGCTCACCTGGTTAGATGTAAGAAAACGACACATACCGCGACGAATTACGGAGATTATTGTGGTCTTCGCTAAGAAGTCAACGATGACGAGTCTGGAAATCCGATAACCTACTGATCATTGCCACCCAAATACTGTAAACGCCTTAATTAAGAGGCCCATTTCCACTCCCAGAACCTCTAATTTCTCGCCTAACAACCATTTACCAGTGAAAACAGGGCCACACCTAATCCAGCCACCCTATTGGTCACGAATCTTAGAATTTTGCCAGTGTGGTAACCCTGCGTAATCTATGAACACCAAGGTGGGGAAAACGCAGGCAAAAGGCAGGAAAAAGTAAACATAAATTTATCAAGTTATTCTTTATACACATACTTAATGGTTACCACATCAAGTAACAAAATAGGCGAATTCACAGATGGAAGGTGTGCTAGCAGGTGTCATAGCAGACATGGGGGGAGGATAAAGAAAAAGACACCTCATTCCGTGCATACGGGAACTGGAATGGGGGCAAAACGGAGGTGGAAATCGACGAGAGAAAAGGAAAACTGTTCCATTGGTTCAATGGGCCCGTGATTATTGCCTACGAGATGGCTGGATTAAAAGTAAAATGCTCACAAACACGCGTCTCCGTCTTCTTCCATGGCTTGCGTCGACGGGCCCTCCTGACGAATTTGATGGGGGAAAAAAGAGGAGAAACTATGAATTTAAGAGTGAAACGCAAGCATTCCCTTCCATTGTTAACACCGTTAGTACTCTCGGGTCAAGGTGTAAAGATTGGGGCTCTAAACGGGATCTGCCATCATGAGGCACAACAATCGCAGCGGCGTTAAAACGTCGTGGCAGACACGAGGCACTGCTGAAAGCACCACAAACATTACGCCTACCACACTTGAAAAAGCATAACGTTATTGCGTCACCTCGTTGAGGTAATGAAGCTGTTTCCTCTCGCATTAAAACGCATCCCACGTCACGTTCACAGCAAAACACGTGACTCAGATGAGGTTACAGTGCGCTAAAAGTGCACCTGGTCGGACGGGAAGCCAAAAAAGTGCATTCCACCAGTTTGGTCGACGTGTACGCCCGGATGACAACATTGTAGTACCCCGCCAATGTGGCTTAGTCGTACTTGAGTCAGTGTTAACAAGTGTCCCAGAAACCGCATTCATTTTGGCGGCCCTATCAGCAACAGGCTGTCAAAACACTAAAAACGACACTTTTGGCCAGACGAAATTTGACACTTCATTCACCACGAGACGGCCATGACGTCGCTTCTCTAAACACCATTTTGATAGGCACATTGAGGCAGAATTTAAAAAAATTCCGGCAGACGTTATGCTATGGCAACAGGTGACACCGCGGGTGAGGTGGTTTCAAACGAGCCTGACGGTTGATGTCTGGCACGATTAGGACGTCGATATTTGTTCATGGAAGGCTACCTTAGGACGACTTACTCCTCACTCGCACACGCATCCAAATGAAATTATCTGCGAGTTCTCGGTTGAACGACACAATCAATTTGTGGAGGAGCTAATCAAGCCCCAACTCAACCAAAAACGGATCCAGTTAAACTGCTTAGTAAACAGTTTGCGCTATTCTCGGCCGATTACTTGCTGTCCACTGCGCCGCAACAAACCTGAGCGCTGCCTGCAAAAAAAACGGATTTGTCCCTTGAGCAGAACCCCGGGAATGGTGGAGTGCGTACTTGGAAAACGAGTGCTTGATGGAACAAAACATGACCACTGCCACAATTCCTCGTATACCGACTCAATAAAGTTGGTAGCTTTTAAAATGCGGTAAACAATATGTCGGTGGCAACGAACAGGGTGAACTTTCTTTGTCGTTTAAATAACAGTTCCCGAAAAAAGCCGAGAAGAGCTGGCACCATTAAAAACACCGTATCACAAAACACTGGCATCGCAAAATGAGGAATTTGGAAAATAGAATAATTCTTTTCTCAACATAGCGAATGTGAGTGAATGGGAGTGGAAGTGACTTTTTGGGGGGAAAGAATCAGGATTTTTACCAACATGCAAAATACAAAAAAAATTGACTGGAGAAAATGAAGAATATAGTAACTGGCGAGACTTAATACACTTAATTTAGCGAGTTGGGAGGCAAAAAATTTGCTTACAAATTCATTAAAATAAAGCTTGTTAATTGGGTAGAGTTTGGTTTGTATAAAAATTCCGTAATTTCGTAAAAAGGGCGACAGAAAAATTAAAATAAGCTTCCGTTCAAGACTTACGACAGGACACGATGGCTCGGGGGGAGGAAAAGGCGTATCAGGAGTTCCCACCCGGAACACGATTGAACGGGATGCAATGTCTGGAATCGCAGTACAGTAAAGCGGTTCTATAAAATGGAAACGAAAAAATATCCTTCACACAAATACGCCAATATTAGCTGAAATAAGTTATAAGAAATTGCCTGATTATTGATAATACTACAATAAAAGTGGGAACTCACCACCAAATCGGTTTCCGTTGGGTAGGCAGAGACTAAAAGCACTAACAATGGGGATGTTTGCCGACAAGGCTCTCATGCAAACGGCCTCAGATGGAGGCTGTAAATTCAGGAGGACATGACAAAAATCCCCAGGAGACAGTTCAGCAATGAGCGTCCGAGATTCAGGGGGCAATGGAAGCCACACCATGCAGGAATTATCACAGGTGGTTTTCGGAGCAACGGTCGGATCAGTCTAGAGCATTATAACGAGGAACCAATTTTAAACATACTTCAACTCTTACGTAGGTACCTCCAGGCCATGCAGCCGTGCCACAATTCTGAATACACCATATAAGGCACGGTGTGTGTTTAACTCCATAATTAGAGGAAGGGAAAAATTTAGCATCGTATAAATTGTTTTGGGGAGGAGATGCAGCTTCGGCAACCGAAGACGTCGTAGGACACGCCGGAGTTGTTTCAAAGCTAAAGTCAAAGTAAGCGCCAATCGCCTTCTGCAGATTCCTATGAAATCAATTTTACTGTTTTATGATAGCTACCAGTTGGCTAGCTCAAGAAAGAAACGACTAATATTGGCAGGAACGCTGCTACCGACCACACAGCTAAAAGCTCTAATCAAGTCATCTTTGTCATCAGTTCCCAAACAACTAAATTGTTCTAAAAGCTTAGCATCGATTTCAAAGTTCGACACATCCATTAAAAGTTAGAGGAACGCAGTCAACAACACCCAAAATATTTTCATAATTTGCGGTGAAACCGAAGTCAGATAAACACTAAATGAAACACGTGGGTACATTGATTTTTGGTTAATTAAATTTTAGATGTGTAGTTAGTTCCATTATGCAAATAAAATTTAGCAATTCAAGGAGATTATTACATACGTGCCGTTTCCAATCTGCCTTGGCATATTTGACTAAAATTTTATGAGATTTGTGTCCGCATATCAAAATGACCATTTGCACTAAAAAGGGATTTACGATTTTTTAAATTTATTTACCCTTAACATTTTTGAACAGACTGTTAATTAGCTAAGTGCAAACCCAGTTTTATTGGTGAGGTAAAAACCTTTTTCGATTACATAACTCTGCTTTTTAGGTATCATTTACAAAGTTTATCCATTAGCAAACACCACTGTTCGTGTCTGGCTATATGTTTCGTATCACTGACATAACAGTTCCAGATTTTCGGGATATAAGTCGCTCAATAAAATTGCTTTTTGCTGTGTCCGGCTATGCGTGAAGGTCATCTTTATATGCTTGACAGTAATGTGACAAAGTGCAATGTTGAAAGTCCCAGATTTTCGCTTTTCCTAGAGGCCCACTTTAGATTTGATTTAAGCTGCATTCACCGTTTTAATAAGCACAAATGAGATCAAGAATTCTATGTTCAAATGAACATTCTACATAAATAATCACTTTGTTGACAAAGATAAACTCCTTTAAGTCGGTTCGCCGTGAATTGTGGCTTGTAAATCTTTTTGCAACTCAAATAATTACGCCACTTTAGGTGATCACCTATCAAGAGCAAGTCACTGTCAGCCCAACTTCTATTGATCCCACTTCTATCAAGACCCTCATGAGTTTTCTGACGCGGCACCCATTTAATTTCCGAAGACATTATAAACTCCCTGCACGATTTCGCTGATTTGCCCTGAACTTAGAAGCTGTCTTTGTGACGTAAAAAGAGATTTAGGTATTGTATCTCTCGGCTTATGTTTTGGTAACCGGCAAAATCATTAACTATTTATACTATTTTGAATTTTCCACTTAAAAATTTTGTCTAGTGTTTTTTTCCTGCTTGATTCATCAAGTATGTTCTATTAGACTAAGATGCGATTATTTACGTCATTTAGCTTTGTTAAACACCAGTCCCTTTTCATTTCTTCCATTTAGCATTTTTGTACATGTGTGATTGTGCATCTTGAAAAAAAACGAAGTTGTCGCAATTGCAACCTGGTAGTCCTTTCCTCTAATTTTTGCAAAGGAAAGGGCTGCATATCTGACGTTTTGGCGGCAAGGTTAATGGCTGTGAGTTAACAGGATTCATTATATATGACTTAATCAGCAGCATTACGGTATTCAGCTTTGATCCATAGAACGGAAAAAAAACTTTGATAAATCTAATCAGTGGTATGAAGACTTGTTCTAGATCAGACTCCAGGTACGTACACAAGATCCTGAGAAGCCTTTAAAGTACTGCAGAACCATCCTCTCGAAAATCCCAAAGTGACTGTTTAAACCATTATGCGCTTATCTAGAAAACACTCCTATGAGTTCATCCTCATACTCTTAATGGGAGAGTTTGATAACTTTCTTGACCTCTTTGAAGTAATCAGTCAAGAGTGGAAGATATGTAAATTCGAATTCCTGTCAAAGGACCAAATTGAAATTTTTTATCTTTTTTTAGCCTCCTTTATTCAATCAGCCATCAAATCAACTCACAATTCTGTTTTACACATGCACCGACAGCCGAAGCCGTACTAGAGACCAACCGGTAAACTTCACTTAAAAAAAGTCAAAAAAACCTTACTCCTCCAGAGTGCTGGCACTCGGGAGCCTGGCACCGTGCCAAGTTTAGCCCATACAAGTAGCATCTGTGTTTGCAATGAAAAACCATGGGCCACAAGGACGGTTATATTCGTCACTTTCACCCAATAAAGCAAAAAAGCGCCTCCGCCAACAGGTTAAATCAGAGGTGTTTAGCATAAAAATCACCTCATTCAATTCAGTGGGCCCATATCCGAGGCCGATGCACATCAGCGAATGAAGTATACACCTATTCTCTTCTATGGCCGTCTAGAACGTGTACAGGCAGACACGATTTTGGACATCATCATCATCATCATCTCCCGTAGTCGAACTTTAGTCAGACCTACCTCTCAGACGTTTATTTGTGCCTGTGGCGGGAAATTTGACTGCAATGTATCCTGCTACTGTGTCAATACTACACTACACCTCCTGGGTCTGGTTTAGTTCCAACAATTGGCTCTCCAGCCACGGTGCGCTATATCCAACAGGAGACAGCCTCTGAAATGACACTACAGCAGGCCATCCTACTATGGCCAATGTGGACCTTCACCAGAGACATCCAGTGGCTGTCCCGTCAACGGCCGCTTGAGGGATGGACCACGCGTCGTGGTGCCCAAATCTCCTCGTTCTTGGAACCTTTGCCGATTTAATCCGAGCACCCCGGCCACTTGACGTCCATCGGCCACACCTTTGTCTACTGGTTACAAATGCGTTGGTTTACGCCAACCGTGTTGTTCACGTGGACATGTCAGATTGTGCATTCTGACAAAACGAATTTGCGATACCTGACACAAGATAACGTCCCTCCCTCTTTTATCCGTCCTATTTCCTGTCTGCGTACTTTGTGCCATCTCTAGCTACACCACTAGCAATTCAACGACTCTTTAGCCAGGTCGGTAAAAGAGTGAATCTTCGCCCAAACAAGACGTTCGCGCACCGACTCTCGGCCGTGTTTTGCTGGATTCCAGCAAACCGTATAACACCCCCGAACATTCGGCAGTTGGTTTAGCATATTAGCGGAATCACTAAAAGATCCCCCTTCAACGGCAGTCCCAAGAAATGACCAAACTATATTAAACTCAATCAGAAGAAATTGATATTGATTTCAAGTCAGATTCGGGCTTGCGTAAGACGAGGGACACCAGCATATTAAGTATCATCACCAATGAAATGAAAGCCCGAGTATTATGTGGGGCGGGTCCTCTAACAATGTACCGAAGCGAACAATAAAACGAGCACTTTGAATGCAACGCGGCGTCAGCAGAAGGCGGGGATTTATACATGAGGGTAAGAAAGAATTCAGCGGTTTGAAAAGGTGTGCACGTGTGCGGGTGTGTGTGAGTGAGAGAGTGAGTGAATGAGTGGGAATACAGGCATATAAAAAAGAATGGACGTTGGTGTGCGGTGGGATTCTGGGTACATCTGGCTGCATTTACTCGGTCATGCATCTCAACCCATCGGTATGTTGCCGCTGATGCGAACTGATTCGCTCGACTTGGCCGCTCCTTCCAGCTCCTTGTCGATGTATATGCGAAGAAGGCGTTTCTGAATAACACAACACCCACTTGTCAGTTGACGCGGCAGTAAGGTAAAATCAGCAAAAATGGCAGGTGCATAGTCAATTTAAAGCCAATTCAATCCCCAAATAATCATCCTAATGAGTTTTTTTTAAAGTACATTCCCACCGGATACGTGTGCGTACCACAGCCATTAGCTCACAGGCACCGGTTCGCATATGTTTTAATCAACATGAAAAGATCGTTGTGTTATATCCCGTGCAGACACGGCTTATCAGAAGAGGCAAACAATAAAGCCAAAGCAGCCTAGTTGAAGTCCAGTCGTGGCTCCACCAGCTTGAAAATAATCTATTAGCAGGCAGACTGAAAGTTACCTTGCCGGCATTCAACTCGGTGAGGTAACCCCACACAGCATCGCCAAACTTGACAGCGATCTGGACAAGGCAGAAGATACTGGCTTTGCGCATGTGACTGTCTTCGTGGTTGCAGGCCTAAAAGAAAGCATAGACAGTTAGACGAGGGAGAAGAGGGAGTGTGTTGGGGGGGGGGAGGGAGGGAGAGGGCAATCTAATTACCGCAACGAGTCCGGGAATGAGGTCGGGAAGGACCTCCTGAACTAAGTCGGGCGAGGAGACCTTTATGACTTGGGTCTGCATCTTCACAGCGGGCAGGTTAAGAGAGGTGTGGCTGTCGTTGATGACCGTGGTGAGGAGACGGAGGCAGAGCTCCTGCGAGAGGTAGCGCGCCACCGTCTGCGCGCACTCCTCCGCCGAGCGAATGACCTACAATAGGGAGAAGGGGGGGGGGGGGGGCGGGCGCGGG